CTTAGGGACTGTGTGGCTGAATGGTTGTGTGTCTGTATGTTTTTTGTCTTTGTGCCTTTTTATCTATGTCTATAAGACTTGGGAGGAAAGAGACACACAAAGGTTCTTAGAGGAGGCACACAAAAATGGGGCTGAGGGGAGAAAAAGCCATAGAGAGGGGCTGGGGGAACATAGAGAGACACACAAAGGGTCTGAATGGAAGAAAGAGACCCACATGTGGCTGGTGGGTAAGTAAGAGATACACAAAAGAGCAGGGGGAAGTAAGAAGTACACAAGGGGCATTTTAAGAGACAAACAAATGGACTGATAACATACACTAATAGGGGTGTAAGACAAACAAAGGGGCAAAGGGGGTAAGACATTCAAAACAAATGACATACACTAAAGAGGATAGCAAATTCATAATGAGCCACACACGTTAAGATGCATTTTTGGGGGAGTGCGGGGGGAGGGAGGGGGCAGGCTATCTGTGTAGCCAACAATTCGTGCACCAGCCCTGCATACCAGCAATGTACCTGGGCACCCTGATATAAATTAAACAGTCCATCAGTTAAGTAGATTATATTGATGGGCTTACATTTGGAAAGATACAAGAGAACGTGTACAAGCATGTCAGGATTGTGCACAAGTTAACATCTCAAACCCTGCCTTGCAGGCTATTGCAGCCACTACCCATACCCAAACATCCATGGTCCAGCCTTTCTATAGATTTTATGGAAGAACATCCTCCTTCTAAAGGATATACTGTAATACTGATGGTTTGTGACAGATTTTCAACACTGGCCTATATTATACCATTGCAAAAACTTCCTACATCCAAAGAACAGCTTAACAGCATTTTTGCAATTAAATAGTCCCCCTACATAGTATTCTAGTAGACGTTATGCTAGATAGAGGTACCCAATTAGTATCCAGATTCTGGAGTGAGTATTGTTCTCAAATAGGCATTCAACTCAATTTCTCCTCATCATATAATCCTAAAACTAACAGAGCGCTTGAAAGGTCTATCCTGGTATTAGATCAATACCTACAATGTTTTATGATAACCAGGACAATTGGGCAGACCTGCCTTGTGAAAGGTGTGCTCAAAACAATACTAGACATGATTCTACAGAGCATAGTCATTGCATTGTCAGTTACGGATTCCATCCTAATGTGTTGCCAGCTGCATTTCTTTCATGGGAAAAACCTGCCTTGGATCGGCTCTTGAATGAATTACACAAAACTTGAGAGCAGGTCCTGCACATCATAGGAAATGTGATGGTCAAAAAAGTTTTGCAATAGATACCGTAAGTTTGTTCCTCCAAACGCTCCTACCTAGGGTATTTTCTGTACCCTGCTGTGGTTCTTTGTACCCAATAGTGCATTTATTTTATTGACCCAGGTTTTCCATTGATAATTCTGATTTCTGGTACCCCTGGCCTGGCTTTGTTTACTCGTTGGTCTCATATCTGGACTCTCTTGGCCTTGGCTAGTTTACCCTGTCTTACAAAAAAGCACTGTTACCTCTAAGGATCAGTAGCATGATCTTGTGTCTATCTTTCTAATATGAGTTTTATACAGTGTGTCTTGGGATTACTTGTCATAACAGGATTTCAACAAGATTTTGTGAGGTCAGACACTGATGTTGAACGAGTAGGTCTGGCTCCAGTTCATCCCAAAGGTGTTCAGTGGGTTAAGGTGAATACTCCATGCATGCCACACAAGTTTCTCTACACCATATTCACCAAGTCATGGACCTTGCTTTGTGCACATGGGTACAGTCATGCTGAGACAGGAAAGGGTGCTAACTGTTGAAAGCACTGCTTTGTCTGAAATATCTTTGCATCCTGTAGCATTAAGATGAACTGGAACTAAGGAACCTATTGAACCCCCTGACTAAAGTTGTGTAGTGTTCACCTGGCATCTGCCTTACCCAGATTCTTCATTCAGACTGCTAGATAGTGAAGCATGATTCATCACACCAAGAGAACACGTTTCCAATGCTCCATAGTCTGTGGTGGCATACTATGCTCCATTTCAGCTGTACAGAAACATTTACACAGCTTGCACCAGCAAGCTGAGCCATTTGAGGTTGACAGATTAAAATATGTCTTCCTTACAATACTGCACTGTAATTAAAAACTGCTCAACAAAATATTTTGTGACAAAAAAAAAAATCCATCATCACAGAGCACAGATGTTGGAAACATTAATCCTGCAGAAGGAAGACATTCATTCAGATAATGGTATAACTGCATTAATTGCATAGTTCTTGTTGTGCACACGTTGCAGCCAAATCTTGTGCAAATTTGACATGTTCGTATCTGCAAGTTTCATGACATGTTTTAATATGTTAGCACCAATGGCCACAAAAAAAATGAAAAAGAAAAAATGCTACAGGCTAAATACCTTTCTGAAATTCTGACATGTGTTATTTAGATTATTTTGGAAAACTAAGACTTAAATTTAAACATCCCAAATTATTGTAGGTAAATGGTAATCCACGATACCAAAATAACTCTGCTCTAGGTGATCTGCAAACTGAGCGAAAGCTCATGTGTAGGTAAATGCAAAATGAATTTGAAATGCACATGTGCATGGTCCAATGGTATTAGTTCCTCTGATCATAACCATGACCTTCCTTTACCTTCATTCATGGTGTCTTGGTATAATAACCCATAACAAGGATAATTAGCAAACATTTAAACAGATAAGGGCATACTGACAGCACAATGTATTAATGAGACATATATGTGAAAAAGCCACATAGAAACTTCCCTGTGATAAACAATAATATATACGTTTATATACAGCACTTATCAAGTAGACCTGTGCAAGTTATTACGATTAGGTTGACAGACATCCTAACATGCAGAAATGCATATCAGGAAGGTGGCTTCACCAGCTACTGCTAGGGCCCCCACACCCTCACACAGCCACCAAACATGTGTGAACACCTTGACACACAGATACACACACTGTCATAATCACACACAGATATACACACTGGCGCATACACACACACACTCAGATACATATTAAAACACAGATACACACACACACTGAAACACAGACTCAGATAAACAAACTGGCACATACACCCAGATACACACAATGACACACAGATACACACACTGACACACACTCAGATACACACACTGGCACATACACTTAGATACACACACTGAAATACAGATACACACTGGCACATACACACATACACTGGCACATACACACACAGTCAGATACACACACTGGCACATTCACCCAGATACAAAAACTGACATACAGATACACACTGGCACATACACACACACGCTCAGATGCATACTGACACACACACTGCCACATACTCATACTGACATATATATATATATATATATATATATACACACACAATCTGACACACACACACATACATGTCATACTTTATAAATTTGTAGCCACCCTTCTGTTAGCTTACCTTTGATTCCAAGAGGGTGGCTTGCATAGGGTATCACGCAAATCACACACACACAATATGACAATCGTGTGTGATTTCCGAGATATTGTATGTGATTTGCTGGAGTCAGGGAGCCGCATTCAAAATGCAAAAGTTAGGATGTCTTAGTTAAAAAAAAAAATAATGGTTATAATATTGAAATATGTATATTCAGTAAGTGTATCAGCATTAGGAGAGCAATGAGAGTACTATGGTCTTAACCTCTTTAAGCAGCTGCTTAGAGAGACCCCATAAAAGAGAGCCTATTAGGTTTATTGAGCACAAACAATACTCATAGCTGGGTGATAAGATGCCACCCTCTCCTCCAGAGCACGGGCAATTTTTCTTGTGGTGAAAAGCAGTGGACCTCTGTTTTTATGTAGAGAACCCCATGATGTGTGCCTTAACCACCATTGCCTGTGGCCTATCTGTATATTAGTGTTGCGATTCTTTCGGCTAGGTCTGTTTGCTGTGCAGTTTTTGTACTTTGCAAGCAGTAGCAGAGAGGCAGGGTTGGGGACTCTCCATCACACAAACCTATACCTTATACTGGGACAGCTCTGAACAGGCCACAATGAAAGGAGCTCATTTTCTGCTGTGCCAAAAACATAGCACCATGCTGCACTGACTACATTAAGGTGATTTGGAAAAGACACAGGAAATAGAGAGACACTGTGGTTGGCAATGGTAGGGGGTCATGGGGAGAAATCTAGGGGTTGGTTAGTGTTGGAAATATCTGCTTCAACTAAGCCCGGTAGTGCAGGCTTAGCTTATTGGCTGAGAATGATCAGTTGATAAACTGTGGGGCTTAGCTCAGGAGAACTCTCCTGGAGGATGATTTGACTCTTTACATTGGTGGGGTGGGGGACTCCAGGCATCATAACTACCACAGCTCCCTGTAGTGGTTATGGTACTCTGGCTGTTCATTTAAGGCTATTCATTATTAGTCTGTTACCTTCTCTATTAAGTCAAGCCCCTGGTCCACCAAACCTTTTCTACCCAGAGCAATACACTAGACATAACTATCACTTCTACTCTTAGACAACTCGCTATTAAGAGATCTGGTCTGAACGAGAATCCAAGCAGCGTACTTAGCATTGTGCTTTACTGCCATGTTCCTGAATAATACTCTTATGGTTGAGAATGTGTCTGTATTGCAATTTTCACACAGCATATCATCAAAAACCATGCCGTTGGATCTAGCAAATTCCACAGAACAAACTCCCTTACTATTCCTCTAGAGTTTTTTTTCTCATTTCTCAGGATTGTTATATATTAAAATAATAGTTCTACTAGACTAGAACAATAATTGCAAAACCTGACTGATTCTCTCTAGTCATCTCTGGAGATTGACTTTATCAGTGATTGCAATCACTTGTTCAACACACCAATTACTGTTCTGTTTTATATGCTTAGTGAAATCTAAAATAGATTAAATGACAAAACACATGAAGTTGTGTAAAGGGAGGAGTTTTCCATGTGTTCCATGGCCTTAAGGTAAAATACCTTTCTTCTTACCTGTGTAGAGTGAAATGTACGGTAATAATCACTAGATACTGCACTTGGATTCACAAACACAAGGTAAGCACTTTATTCTTCATCACCATCTCCTTATCTGTGCAGTGAGTGAAAATATGTTTTAAAAAAATAAAATTATATATATATATATATATATATATATATATATATATTAAGATAGATAGATAATATGGTATATGTGAAGCTTTAGAGAGATAATATGGTATATGTGAAGCTTAAGATCCGATGTTGAAGCAACAACAACTCCCATGATGCTTTGCATGACTTTAGAATGCATTTATAATAACAGAGCGTCATGGAAGATGTAGTTTTGAAAAATCTGGGGATCTATCTTTTGGGCACCCCGGGTGTACAACGTACTAGCAGTTACAGGATTAAACAAGACACTGCCAGTGAAATGTATTGTACTTCCTGTTAAATGGTTAAAGAAGCACTCCGTGGAGAAGCTGTTATTGGGTGGATGTGTTCCTTTAAGGGTTGTGATGAAAACATTTATCATAGTAGTAGTAAGAGCATTAATACTAATGGTTACAGCAGTAATAATTATAAAAAATATAATAATACGTTTTGTACTATAACAATTTTCTTTTCTTTGAGACAACAAGCATTTTTGTGTACTCTGTCAAATTTGAACCGAGTTGGCAAGTGATTAATAAGATTAATAATTTAATATGATAGATGAAATGTCATTAAATGAAAAGACAGCAGTTATTTAAACAGGTGTTTTAAATGATTGGATATTTAATTATGTGGTTCACATAACAATAATAGGACTGAACTGCATTTGTATTTTGTAGTTTAAATAGTAATTCAAATGAAATCGCTTGGATATGTCTGTACATACAATTTGTGTTTCGCTCCAAGCCATCACTTTCGGACTTCTAATCCATTCTATATCTACTGTTATTACAATTCAATCTGGTGCAGCGAAACATCGAAAATATCTTTCAAAGTAAAGGAAACTTGCCTGCATAACATAAATATGGTGTACAAATATTATGCTGTTGATTTACTGTGGTATAAAAATGGTTTAGCATATTTATACTATATCCTTGCAGCACTTTTTATTCCCCTGTGTAAGGGCAGAGGGTTAGCTGAACGCTGGGAAGAAATAGCAAACATTGACGTTATTTGTTGCCATAAATATATTTAAATGACAAGATAGGGGTTACAGTATGAGAAAAAAGCAAGGAAAAAAATTGTCCCCTTTACCTCAAAATTGACTAAGAGTAACCGGGAAATGCCCCTTCTTTCTCCAGTTTTTGTGTTTGGTATTGGCATTTGCAAGGGTAGCTTTTGGTGCTGAAGCCCCAGATGTTTGACTCTTTAGCCCTGATATCTACAAGTAGTGGAAGAGGCCAGAGAATAAAATGACAGAGGGGGAAATGGGCGGTGTCCTGAGGTGATTGTCAGGAGGGAATGTTGGGGATCAGAACTTTGCGGCAAACCCCTCTAATAGTTAGGTAATATGGTGGGATTGCATTTTGATGGAAATGATCAATACAGATGATCTAAGCCAATCCAGTGCTTTCCCATAGGCAAGCATTAAAGGACCACTATATGAGACAGCCACTAGAGGCTTTGGGGGAAGGCTTAACCCATTCATAAACATAGCAGTTTCTCTGAAACTGCTATGTTTATAAAAGAATGGGTTAAGCCTAGCTGGACCTGGCACCCAGACCACTTCATTAAGCTGAAGTGGTCTGGGTGCCTAGAGTGGTCCTTTAAGGTGCAAGTGTGCGGTAATCACTGTGCTATGACCAGTCACCATCTCCTCGTTGATTTGCAATGAGTTAATGCATCTCTATGGTTTGTGCTGCATAAATATCAGTCCCACAATACTTTCAGGTCTGAAACCAGGAAGTCCCATTGGTGGTTGTCCCAGTGACAGCCACTAGAGGGGGCATTGTGCAGTAGTGTAAACACTGCCTTTTCTTATTACATTGTTGAGGCTGCATGGACGTACTCTGAGCTGTAGTCGTTCTGGAGAGCATGTATTGCACGATGTTCATGGGTAGAGAGGTGGGGACATAACATAGAGAGGCAGAGATATGGCTTGGGATTCCTAGCTTTCTGTTAGTGTAAGGGAAATTGCATTTTGATTTGGGTTCAATTTCCCAAATGGTTTTGGAGCCTAGCAACACTCCTGGTGCATGGAAGAGTGCCAGAGCAATTACAGGTAAAATATAAACACCTAGCTTCTTGCTCAATGATAAAAGGGATGATAAAAGGTATAGTTCCCTGGCCTATTACCCATAAGATCTTAGTATGCCAAATTCATTTTGCTCTATTAGAACCACTAGCACACTGATCATATTTGTACCCTTCATTGCACCCACCAAAGGATGGGGCAAATGGTAGGGATCATGTGCCTGTTACCTACCTGGTTTATTATTCTCTTCTTTAACACCACCTAGTATAGAGGTAATGGCATTGTGGTTTCTGTAGTTTCCTATGGAGTTGTTTTACTCTGGTCAGAAGCTTTTTTTTATCTGTCAAATTATTATTATTGGTAATTATTTAAATAGCGCCAGCTTATTCCGCAGTTCTTTACAATAAGATACACCAGTTAGTCAGGACAGGATTACAAGACCATTGGGCCTGGTGCTGACAATTACAGTGAGCCTAATTACAGAATCTTAATAACAGAAAACACTAAAATAGTCACGCCTTCCAAGCATCATATATCGGGTGGAGGTGGTGCTGGAGGAAAACTCACAGGATGTATCTATAAGAAAATACATACCCTATGCTAATCTCTCGCTTTAATCTCTCAAACAAATCCATTGCCTCTAACAGCAGCTTCCGGTGAAGCACAAAGTTAGTTAGTGAGGTCCACTGATGCAACTCACATAATTGTTACCACCCAAAGAGGCGGGTCTGCCCAAAGAATTGGAAGGTCAGTTTGGCCAACAAAGAGCGTACTATGCAGACAGAGTCCTGACCTTTGCCCAAATGCTAATGATGAGCTACTGTAAACTTTCTGGATCATGTCCCCAAGCATTCACTTGTTCATTCCTCTCCTTACCTACTTTTCCAATTTGACAATTTTTATTTTCACTTACAAAGCAAACTTAGGATACAGAAGAAAGAAAAAGGGGGGGGGGGGAGGGAACATCCCAAATCTCGATTTACACGACTTCCAGCTTTACATAATATATAACATCATACACATTTTCGCAGTTTCACAGCGGTCTAGCTTTTCACGTTGACTGCATTTGCCTTGCCCTCTTGCCTCTGTTTTGGGGCCTGCTTATTCGCCATTCTACTAATCATCTCTTTGGTCTCCCTTAAGCGACATCCGTGTACTGTCTGAGAGTTCACCCTTGGTCTAGATTGTTGTTCCCGGGAGGGGGGGGGGAAGCTGAACAGGGGGGGAGGGAGATAAGCTGCAGGGGAGTGGTGAGGGGGGGGAGAGATTGTGATATGCCCGCTCTCCCTACCGGTTTTATGCTATACCTTCCATGTTTGTGTTACTTCCCTTCTCTTCTCTGATTTGTCTGGTGACTCCTGCCTGTTCTCGCAATTCCCTGGACTCCCCACAGTCTTGAGGGGTTCTCGTACGTTTGGCCTTATAAATTCTTCGTGTCGGGCTGGGTCTGTGACATTGGGTTAGTCTCTGTCTTTGATCTCCCTGGGCGTGTTTATGCCTTCCCACCTAATGTTCGCGTCCTCAAACTTGCGCGTGTTACCCTGATTTTTCCTGGTTGTGAGTTCATAATGTAAGTTGGTGGAAATCTGTCTTGTTATGGCTAGTTTCGTCGGTGCCTTGTCTGTCTTCCATTCTTTGGCTATGAGCGTCAGTGTCGCAATTAGGATGTGGAAGACCAGAATTGTTTCGCTGCCCTGGAATCTGTCCATATTCATGAACAGTAGGCCCATTTCTGGGGTGAGTGTAATGTTACCCTCTAGTATCTCATCAAGTATACTTTCTACCATCTCCCAATAAGGTCGCAGTGTCTCACATGACCACCATATGTGGTACATTGTACCTTCTGACCCCCCACACCTCCAGCACTTAGCTGATGTTCCTGGATAAATTTTTGCCAGTCTCACTGGCACCATGTACCACCTGTAATATACCTTGCGCATTAACTCTAGGTGTGACGTGCATGTAGTCCTTCCTTTGTGTGCCGTGGTTGCGTGTCTCCATTGGGTTGCATCAAAATGCTTCCCAATGTCTGCCTGCCACGCTGCACTGAATCTGTCTATGTGTACAGGGTCGCCTATATTTAGGAGTGTATAGCACAGGGAAATCAGGCCCCTCTTCTGCTTTGGGTTCAAACGAATCCTCTCAAACTCCGTGAGCTTGGTCTCCCCCTCCACTGTGGTCGTTTGGGCCCCTAGCATGGATTTTAGCTGAAGGTATGGGAATATCAATTTGGGGGGCAGGTCGAATTTTTCCTGGATAGTAGGGAATAATATTATCTGTTGTGCTTCCAGTTGGTCTCTCACATGCGTGCAGCCTCTCTTTGTCCATTCCCTATGGTCAAATGTGTTGTTTGCTACCTGTAGGCATGATAAAGGTGTTGCCGGTGACCACGGTGACATAGAGAGCAATGATTTGTGTGTTCTGTCCCAAGTCCTCAGCAGTGTTTTCGTGGTGGGTAAGATATTAGGTTGGTTGGGGCGCAGTGGTTTAGGTACCCACAACAATCTGCGGAGGTCTGTCCCCTGAAGCCAATGGTTTTCTATTTCCAGCCAATGTGGGACGGGGGTTGGGGATTGTATCCCCAGCACTGGGGCTAGTAACGTCGCCTGATAATAGAGTTTGATGTTTGGTAGGGCTAGACCCCCTTGGTGAGTGGGTCTATACAGGTGTTTGGCAGCTATTCTCACTCGTTTGCGTGCCCATATGAATTTAGTAAGCATCGCCTGTGTTTTGGTTAAGTAGGAGGTCGGTAGGTCTATTTGCAGTGTTCGAAATAAGTATTGTAGTTTGGGGAGGATAGACATTTTAAATGCTGCCATCCTGCCCAGCCAGGAGAGGTACTTATCTCCCCATAAGGACAAACTGGCCGCCATCTCTTTTTGCAGGGCTTCGTAATTAGCCTTGAATAGTCCCCCCATTGTCTTTGTTGACTTAATTCCCAGGAAAGAGACGCTGTCTGCTCTCCAGTCCATTACAAACTTCTCCCGCAATACCTGTAGTACGTCGTTAGGTACCCAAATCCCCATGGCCTGGGTTTTTGTCACGTTTAGTTTGTAATATGAGCTGTCTCCATATTCCTTTATTACCGTCAGTAGGTTTGGCATTGAAATCAGTGGTTGCGTTAGGGTCAGTCCGCACGTCGTCCGCGAATAGATTGGCTTTGTATTCCTTTTCCCCAATGCGTATTCCGTGTATGGAGTCATGTTGTCTAATCTTTGTTGCCAGTGGCTCTAAAGCCAGATCGTACAACAAGGGGGACAGGGGACACCCCTGTCTCGTGCCATTTGAGATACTAAACGGGTTTGATAGAAAACCCGCGTTAAGTACCTGGGCTGTCGGGGCACTATATAACGCTTTGACCGCTGCTCTAAAGTCTCCTGGTACTCCGAATTTTGTCATGACTGCCTCCAGGAAAGTCCAGTGCAGTCGGTCGAATGCCTTGTGTTATTTGGGTAAACTGTGCAGTATATTCAGTACCTTGCGCGTGTTATCCGCTCCCTGTCTCCCTAACACAAACCCAACTTGGTCTTTGTGGATTATCTGTGGGAGAAGAGTGCTCAGTCTCATCGCGAATAGCTTGGCGAATATTTTCGCGTCTGTGTTGAGCATGGATATGGGTCTAAAATTTTGTGGGACGGTGGGGGGCTTCCCTGGTTTCTGTAACGTTATGATGTGGGCCAGTAGTGTGTCTTGTGGTATTTTCTGCGCGGCGGTCGCCTCCGTGAATGTGTGCACCAGGTGGGGCGTCAGTATATGGTGGAATTGTTTGTAGTATGTATTATCTAGCCCATCTGGGCCTGGGGCTTTGCCTTTCGGTAGTTGTTTTATGATGGTGTGGAGTTCTTCCTCTGTGATGGGTCTAATGAGATCAGTCGCCTGTTGGGTCGTGATTTTCGGGAGGTCTACTGTGACTAAGTACTTATTTATGTGTTCCGTCGTGGGCTGAAATGTGGTGTCATGTTTGTTAATGTTGTACAAGTCGGCGTAGTAGTTGGCAAATTCATTGCATATGTCTGTAGGTATCATTTTCTTCTCTCCCGTATGGGACACAAGAAAAGCAATTTTTTGGTTCGCCCTACGTTCTTGCAGTCTCCTGGGCTAGTAGTCTGCTAGCTTTGTTCCCTTGCGTGTATTGATTCATTTTTAACCTCTGGAGCATGTAACCTGTTTGTTCTATTGCCTTTTGGTGTAGCTTGTTTGTAATGTTGGTGATTTGCAATTTTAGCTCAATAGAAGGGGAGATTTGGTTTTGTGTGTTTAATTGGTACAATTCTTTCTTCCATTGCGTGGTCTGGGCCGAGGATTTTCTGTGTAAGTATGACGCCCTTCTGATAAATATACCCCTGACTACAGATTTGTGTGCTGCCCATAATGTGCCCTGGGATATACCTGGGGTAGCGTTCTCAGTGAAGTAATTAGTCAAAGTCTCCTCTACCTCTTTCTTAAATGACATGTCATTCAGCAAGGAAGCATTCAGCCTCCACGGGCTGCCGTGTTTATAGTCATATTGATCTCTTACCGACAGCGTAATCGGTGCGTGGTCCGACCAAGTAATCTGTCCTATGTCACAGTCTGTGATTTGGTTAAGTCCTTGTCCATGCATGAGAAACCCGTCTATCCTCGAGTACGTGTTATGTACGTGGGAGAAGTGGGTATACGCTCGTTCCGAGGTGTGGGATATTCGCCAGGTATCATAGTAGTGGTGTAGTGAGAGGAGCTTCTGTAGCTTTTTACACTGTCTGTGTAGTATTTTATACCGTGGACTGTGTTGTGAAATGTTAGTGTCTAGTTTTGGGTCCCAGACATGATTAAAGTCTCCACAGATAATTGACACTCCTTCTTGTATCGAGTCTAGTTTCTGTAGCACATGTCTTAGGAACCTTCCTTGTAATGTGTTGGGTGAGTATATATTGGTGATTGTATATATCGTGTTATTAATGGTGCATTTCAGTATTATATATCTCCCATTGGCGTCCACCTCTGCGGAGATCATGGTAAATGCTACCTGCTTAGAAATCAGTATGGATGTCCCTTTGGACTTTGTTGGGGAGGTCGCGTGGTATTGGTGTGGGTAGTCAGAAGCTGTCGGTGGGATATAATTGTCAGTTCTGTAGTGTGTCTCTTGAAGACAGATGACATCCGCATCCGTCTTCCTGAGTTCTCTATATAGCTGGTGTCTCTTAACCGGTAGGTTTAACCCTTTTACATTTAGAGAAAAGATTTTCATGGGGGTTTATATCCAATGGCTTTGATAAGGGTCACAGTAGGTATTAAGGACCAGTACGGGGGGTTCGTTCGTCCCAGCAGCATCAAGTCGAGCGACTTTCCCCTAGGTGAGGGTGGGATTTGGGCATATCTCACTCGCTGGGTTAGGGGCGGTTGGGTGGGCAGGGGTACCTTTGCAGAATTTGAAATCCAGTGGGTTAGGTCAGCTGCGTGGACTCCCTGTAGGTATCGGGGAATGGGCGTGGGTTGGCTGGTCTCAGCGAGACCGGGGCGGGGTGGGGGACATAGTGATAACCGGGAAAACATATAATACAGATGCATAATAAACTGGTGTGCCATTTTCGGCTTAGGTACTCCTGGTACCTGTGGAGGCGGAAGTGTGAACTTCTTCCCTGTGGGGTGCATTCCCCGAGTCGACCCACTCTATAGCTTGCTAATCGGTCTGTTAGTTTTGGCGCATAGCCGGGCAGTAGTGCCCAGTGTAGGGTGTAATGAAGCATTGTGGAACATATATATGTACGTAGTTATAGATGCATATATATATATGCATACGCATCTTTGTTTTGATTTTTTTTTTTTTTGTGGTTTCGAAAATTCCTACAGAGGCCTGCTTTGTATAGCTGTGGCATTAACATTTAACATTGCTTTATAACAATTATACGATACCCCCGGTTGACTCCATGGTCTATTTGTCAGGACCGGCCTCTCAACAGACTCCTGCGATCACTCGCATATCTGTTGTAGTCGTGGTGTTGCCTTTTATGTCAGTCTCTTGCGCTTTCTCCAGTCTTTGGAGGTATTGTGCGTCCTCTTTGGGCTTCGTTGTTGGTTTGGTTCGGTGAGTCCCCACCTTTGTAGTATTAGGGCTCCTTCTTCTGGCGTGTTGATAGCTGGCACCTTTCCTCCTCTGGACACCAGTATTTTCACCGGGTATCCCCAGCGGTATGGCAGCTTGTGGAGCCGGAGCTGTTCTGTGACTTCTCTAAATTCTCTCCTTCATTTCAACGTGTATGTTGATACGTCTGCAAACACTAACAGCCCCCCATATGGGTCTGGAAGCGTCTTCTTCGCTCGGCTTGCCTGGAGCACTAGTTCTTTCACGTGGTAGTAGTGCATTCTGATGAGAATGTCTCTTGGGGTGTCTTGAGGTAGAAAGCTGGGCTTGGCAGTCCGATGGTATCTGTCCATGAGCAGCAGATCTAGTGGCATGTCTGGTGCCAGCGCTTTCAGCAGGCTTGTCAGGTAGGCCGCCAGCTCTGTGGGTCCCACCTCCTCACTCACCCCACGAATTCGCAGGTTGTTGCGGCATGCCCTGTCCTCAATGTCTGCTAGCTTTGTCTCATACTGCTGCATTCGATTGTGCAGCACTGCCATCTCCTCTTCCATTCCCCTGTGGGCCTTGTCCAGCTCTGCCACTCTATTTTCAGTCCCAGCAGTTCTCACCTCTAATTCTTTTAGGTCTTTATGCAGTGCCCCAATTGTGGCTTTGAAGCTGTTCTCTAGTCTTGCAGACATCTGTTCCAGCATTGTCCGCATCATCTCTTGTGTGAGAGGAGCATCCGCTGCTATGTCAGCATGCTGTAGTTCTCCAGCCTCCTCGGCGCCATCTTGGGTTTCATCCTGCAGCAAGGCCTGTCTCCCCTGGTGTGTCCGTGAGGCAAAAAAGGCACTCCGGTCAGCTTTCTCAGCCTGTCTCTTCCCTTTAGCTTGCGACATGATCGTTGGGGTATATGGGGCCCCGTTTTCGTGTGGCTATTTGCCAAATTGCTCCTGTGTGGGTGCCGTCGGAGCGGAGCACTCAGCACATGCGACCGCTCAGTACCGCCGCCAGGACACCCCCCCCTCTCCTTACCTTCTTAGCAGGCAGAAGCTCTTGGTATACAATCTGGGAGAGAGAAAAGGTGGATGTAGTCAGTGTAGAAGAAAGGGAACATGCCACAGTGTTAGACCATAGCAGCAAGGGCATTTGCACGGTGCGCAAAGTCAGCTTTATCTCAAATAAATACATTGTCAGCCAGTCCACACAAGTTTTGTTCCCCTACATCCCTCTAATATTTACATACTTAATTCCCTCTGCAGAAAGCAAGATATGTGAAGTGTTGTTTATATATACTGCCTCCCTTGGTAAACCCATCAGGTCTTTTGGCTTCCAATATCACTTCTATGCAGGTGACACGCAAATATATCTGTCCTCCTCTGATCTCTCCCCTCCTCTCTTGGCTAGTGTCTCTGATTGCCTCTCTGCTATTTCTAACAGGATGGCTGCCCACTTCCTTAAGCTAAACTTGCCCAAAACAGAACTTCTGGTGTTTTCTCCCTCAAGTGTTGCTACTCCCGTTTCTGCCTCCCTCCACGTTAATGGTGCTACCATCAGCTCCACCACGCAGGCTCGTTGCCTAGGTGTTCTATTTGACTCCGACCTCTCCTTTACCCATCATGTCCAGTCTATCACCAAATCCTGCCGCTTCCATCTCAAAAACATTGCTAGCATCTTCCCTATTTAACGCCAGATGCTGGTCCATGCCACTGTCCTCTCTCACCTTGACTACTGCAATCCACTTGCCCACTCCAGGGAGCCCGGCCGCCCGGCCGCCCTGTGGACCCCTGTAACCGCGGTGCCCTCCACCATGTGTTGCCACCCCAGCCTGCACAGTAGAACAGCCGAGGCTGCACGTTAAAGTGTCCAGGTGGCCCGGTCAGTGCTGTGGCACTTTAACAGCAAGACTGGGCCCCCTGAGATGACATAACAGCTGGGAGGAAGTGACTGCCCCGGTCACTTTCTACAAGCAACCATCGGGAGGCGTGCGGGAGGGGGGAGTCAGGAGTGGGAACTCTGACTCCCATCAGACTGAGACACTGGACCCCAGGGAAGTCACCCTCCTGCACCTAAAAGGTAGGAAACAGGCGGGTGACCAGGCTTTGGTGCTTTTGGCAGTGTGGGCAGGTGCCAAGTCCTGCTGGAAAATGAAGTCAGCATCCCCATAAAGCTCGTTTGTGGAAGGAAGCATGAAGTGCTCCAAAATCTCCTGGTAGTTGGCTGCGTTGACCCTGGACTTAATGAAGCACAGTGGACCAACACTAGCAGATGACATGGCTCCCCAAATCAACACAGACTGTGGAAACTTCACACTGTACTTCAAGCATCTTGCAGTGTGTGCCTCTCCATTCTTCCTCCAGACTCTGGGTCCTTGATTTCCAAATGAGATGCAAAAGTTGCTCTCACCAGAAAAGAGGACCTTGGACCACTGAGCAACAGACCAGGTCTGTTTTACATTAGCCCAGGTAAGACGCTTCTGACGCTGTTTGTTGTTCAGGAGCAGCTTGACAAGAGGAATACGACATCTAAAGCCCATGTCCAGCATCTGTCTGTGTGTGGTGGCTCTTGATGCACTGACTCCAGCCTCAGTCCACTCCTTGTGAAAATCCCCAACACATTTGAATGGCCTTTTCCTGACAATCTTCTCCAGGCTGCGGTCATCCCTGCTGCTTGTGCACCTTTTTCTTCCACACTTTTCCCTTCCACATAACTTTCTATTAATGTGCTTTGATACAGCACTTTGGGAACATCCAACTTCCTTCGCAATTACCTTTTGAGGCTTTCCCTCCTTATGGAGGGTGTCAATGATGGTTTTCTGCACAGCTGTCAGGTCAGCAGTCTTCCCCATGATTCCCCATGATTGTGATTCCTACTGAACCAGACTTAGAGACCATTTAAAGACTCAGAAACCCTTTGCAGGTGTTATGGCTTACTTAGCTGATTAGAGTGGGACACTGTGAGCCTAGAACATTGCACATTTTCACAATATTCTAATTTACTGAGATTGTGGATTTGGGGTTTTCATGAGCTGTAAGCCATAATCATCGCACTTATGACAAATCACGGCTTGAACTATCTTGCTTTGCATGTAATGCATCTATTTCATATATTAGTTTCCCCTTTTACGTTGCATTAATAAATAAATGAACTTTTGCACTATATTCAAATTTTTCGAGTATCACCTGTAAATACTTGCCTGGGAGATGAACAAAGGAGGCAAAGGAGTCTGGAAGGTGTGAGCTGCAGCCTGGTATGGTGGACAAGGTTCTCGGAGACCACAGTCAAGCTTTGGTGACTGGATCCGAAGCACTCCAGTGTCCCTGATAGCAGAAAGGAAGCTGATCTGGCGAAGGACATAGTCAGAGAATGGGTGCTGCGTCACAATAATAATAATAATACATAAAATTGTTTAATAATTTCAGGTTAACAGATAGTAACTGAAATGAAAAATGAATTGATTTGTTTAATCCAACAACATTGGATTTGCATATATTCTACCTTATATGTAATTGTCATATATGCAATACAATATTTTCCACTTTTGACACAGTATGCTTTAGACTTTATTGCAGATCATCTAAAATTCATGAACATATGGTGTTTGACACATGATTCTACATCTGGGACATTTTTATAGTATTCAGATGTCATTGTCCCAAAGTCACATAATAATCCTGTGACCTTGAATCACACCAAGAACAGGTGTTTTTCTTCAGAAATTCATGACAAAAAGACCAGTTTGCTGTCCAAACGATCCAAAACGTTCTCAATCTAAAGCAGATTGTGAACTCTGATTATGGAAATAGGAGACATTTACGCTTCCAAGCTGTCTACATCATTCCTTTTTTTCCCCTCGGATTGGGACATGTTGCAGTAAAATCTTAAGGAATAAGTCATGTGCTAGCTAAACTTTTTTGTTTTTTACTGTAACCATTTCAATATATATATATATATATATATATATGTGTGTGTGTGTATGTGTGTTTGTTCAGATATATGAACTCTTTAATTTCACTAAAACCGAAGATAGCAGACAGAGTTTATATTTTCCTTTGTATTATTTAGTATCATTACAAGTTGGAAAAGGAATGTAAGATGGATCTCCATCATGTTGTGTGCTACATCTTCCATAATTCTCTTGTAACCACGATGCTGGCAAAGCATCAGGGGTGATGTAGATTACAGCATCTGCAGCGCCGATGCTACCTACCCCTGCTGTAACAGGTATTTATAAAAGCATTCTAAAAAGTAACAGTTAAACTCTGTCATTAACTAATTTCTTTTTTAAAGTATTCTAAAAGTGACCAAAACAGTGCCAATTTTCTTCGTACACCTTGCCAGTTCTCACTTTAATTTCAAAAGACCACCAAGTTTAGAGTTTCAGAAAAAAGAGAAGTGAAATAGATGTTTTTTCTGTTGAAAAAATTGTTGGAAATAATGATAAATCTATTATGTTGCTGAAAAAATGACAAGTATTAAAACATTAGGGTTAGGGCACAAAATAAGCAAAACATAAAAAAAAACAGATACATTTATTAAAGTGCAATAAAAATTTGCCAAAAATTGGACATCAAAATCCCCCCCATTCTATATTTAAGTAAATACATTTAAAAGGTTTTGTTAGTTAAAGAGAACCTGTCACACGTACAGTTACTTTAGCTCTCTTAAAAGAGCTTCAAATTCTATCTATATATCATGCTTGCAGTTTTTCCAGAAAAACATATTTAAAAACTTTTTTCTCCCATCTATCTCTCAATTTCTTGGCAGACACTCATACCACTGCTTTTCACCCATAGCAACCGCAGCGCAAGATATGGTAACTGCCTAGTTAGCGCTGCTAGTGTCGGTTTGGGAGTATAGGAATGGAGTGACATTACATCACTCCATAGAGATTCCTGCAAGCTGTCAATTAAACCAGAGTGTTTGTGTCATGGAAGAGGTTTGCATTGCTTGGGCACACTTTCAAATGAACGAAGTGTAACACCCACCTTTGTAAGGAGATCACGGTGGGGAAGCAGAGGGCCGGGTATATTGTGATTGTGTCTCTTTAAAAGCTAAAGCCGTTAGGCATGGTGTTTAATCGAAAGATGTTGCTCATCTGAATATTTGCAACTACAACATTACATAAATAAATTTGAGAGGAAAACACAGACCTTGTTTCTCCTAATGGTATTGAAATGGAATCCAAGTCCAAAGTAGCTGATCTAGAATCTTAGGTATAGTCATGGTTTGGTTACTTTAACATAATATTTGACATTAGGATTTTATTAATGCAGAATTGAGAATTAAATAAGCCAAAAAGTCTTTTAAATCACAATTGTTTCATGGTTTAAGATTTTAGTGATCGAGAGGAAGGCAAAAGAAAATTCCTCTTGGCTCCAGATGCAAACAAAATTTACTCTGGGTATGTGCTTTCTAGAAGGGCATCTACCCTTTTGTCAATACAACTTATTTTAGAAATAAATGGATCTTAAACTATCATCAAATCGCCACTTCTTGTTTCTGAAGGTGTATTACATTTAAAAGGACATTCCACCATCTAAATAAAAAAATGATATTAAATTAATCAAAATCGGCTGGCAGGAAGACAGCACAAGAGGGAGAGGAGGCAGCCGCAGCATGAGGGGAAAGGAGCACTCCAGGAGCTGCTCCAGACCCCTCACTCACACCAGCTAGCAGCAGGACCAGGACTCCAAGTCACCCTACAGGACACATAGGGCAAGCTATGTGTCAGTGTGTCAGGGTGTGCATCTGTGTGTGTGTATATATATGTCAGTGTGCTTCTCTGTAAGTGTGTGTGGCGGTATGTGCGCACAAATCTGTGTGTCAGGATGTGCATCTGTGTGTGCATTTGTCAGTGTTTGTGTTTCAGGGGGCATGTTTCTGTGTGTCAGCGTGTTTGTGTGTGTGTGTGTATATGTTGGTGTATGTGTGTGTTAAGGTGTGTGTATGTGTCAGTGTGTGTATGTGTTGGTGTATTGATTTGTATCTATGTATTAATGTCCATGTATACCTGTGTAAGTATGTATGTATGTATGTTGTAGTGTATTTGCATTCATGCAAGCAGTCAAGCACAACATACAAACACATTTCTGCAATTTAACACAAATATTACATACAAACACACCCCTACATTCAAACTCCAAAAGGATATACAAACACATCCCTTCACTTAGACACAAATACTTCACACAAATATCCATTTAAAGTGAACATTACATACAGACACACCATTGTATTAAAACACAAGAACTATATACAAGCACCCCTTCAAACACTAACACTTTATATTAAACTATAGCGCCAGTAAATGCTGCAGCGCTATACAGATATACAACCTTGAAATTTTGACTTGGGGTGCCTTAGAAAAATATTGAAATATTAAAGGCACCTTGAACCTAAAAGGCTTGGGAACCACTGGACTAACTATTGTTCACCATAACTTGCTTACTGCCTCAAGTTCACACAGAGCAATCACAGCAGCAGGCAAATTAGGTTGTGATTGCAGTAGAATATGATTCAACATGACTGCTCACTCACCCACCAAAAAAAAAAATATATCGATATACAGAATAAAAAAAAAAAAACACATTAAGTTTTATTAAATGTAATTAACGTTCAAATAATGAAAAGTAAAAAAAAAAAAAAATGATGACAATTGTCCTTTAACTGCCCTGACAAATGAAGTATATGTTTAAACTCATTATTGATGCATCTTTTTTATCAGTAAAAGTCTATGCGTCAAGAGTTCTCCTGCTTTTCTTTTTGGGGGGGGGCGGGGGGAGGGTTGACCTTTTTTGAATATGGTAATCTTATCACATTGCAGGTGGGGTATGAGAATAAAGATACACAATTTATAAAATGCATCCTCATAGATAAAATTCATGTATTTTATTGCCTTTATGTTCCATACTCATAGGCAAGCACTGCTAAATCTTTCAGCAACACATTCTGATTCTTCTCCACATATTTCAACAGTAAGTAATTCAGTTTTTAATTAGTATGCTTAAAGGAACACTATAGTCTTGATGAAGCAGTTTTGGTGTAAAGATCATGCCCCTGCAGTCTCACTGCTTAATTCTCTGCCATTTAGGGGTTAACTCCCTTTATTTATGCATCCCTGGTCACACCTCCCTGCATGTGACTTACACAGCCCTCCTAAACACTTCCTGTAAAGGGAAATCTTATGTTTACACTTCCTTTACTGCAAGTTCTGTTTAATTTTGAATTTATTATCTCCTGCTCTGTTAATAGTTTGCTAGATGATACAGGATGATAGATGATTCAATTTACAGAGCAGGAGATAAAAACCGCTAGGTTACATCTCACTGAATATGAAACCATTTTGTTTTTATGCAGGCTGTGTCAATCACAGCCAGGAGAGGCGTGGCTAGAGCTGCAATGACAGAAACAAAAGTGATTTAACTCATAAACTTAAGAGGCATGATCTATACACAAAAACTGCTTCATTAAGCTAAAGTGGTTTTGGTGACTATAGTGTCCCTTTAAAGGAATGCTACAACCAAGCATGATAACAAGTATTTGTAGTGGTTATGGTGCCAGGAGTGTCCTGGCGTTGTTCCAGTGTAAGTAGTCAGACCATTTAAGAATGGTTTAAGAACTTATTTAGGGTCTGCTGGGTGCCTCCTCCTCTGCACCCTGGAAGCTCCTGCAAAGCGTTTCTGTATATATATTTGTTTTATGTTGACTACACAGTTGTGTGTTTAGCAAGCTATTCCATCATTGTCACATGAACCAGCACTTCTCATTTCTTTACCCCTTTACCTATAACATTTTGCTTCTACAACGTTTATAAAAAAAAAATTATTTCCTTTGAACATCTCCTATTAGTCCATTAATTTTCCTCCCCCACCTCCTCACCCACGCTGAGTCTATTCATTATCTCAAATGTTATTTTTTCTTTTCCGCTATTTATTTTAACTTTTCAACAGCTGGTTCTCTAATTTTTTTTATCTAGATACTGAATGCATCATTGTATCTCCCACTCTGACTAGATTCTCTTATAAATTAGGTTCAATGCATTTCTCTCTCTCTGCAAATATAAACATTTTGTAACATTTAACAGCAAAACACATCCCATGTGAATTAGACTAACATAAGATCACCACCTTGTATCCCTACAATTATTGACCACATTGTTACCTTCTTGTCTATCCACATGCTCTGAATTGAGAAGGCGTGGATTTGGGATTCCTCTATTCTCATACGTCCGTTTCCAACACATTTTCCTATCCCACACTATTGCTTATTCAGAGAATTTCCATTTAACTGACTCTTGATAATTTAAGTTCCATACTATTAACATATGTTTTCTTTGCTATCTCTGAATGACTGCTAATTCATTGTTCTTGTTTTTATTAAAGTCTTCCACAAGGATCATCTGGGCTGTGATCTACGAAACTGTGTTTAATATCCAGGTTAAACCATTTTACTTTCCCGTTTTCATATTGTCACATAGAAACTAGATGAAAGACTATAAGTCACAGTTCTAATGTCAATTAAAAGTTGGTTCGCAGGGGGGCAGGGCCGGACCGGCATGCTGACCTGTCACATGCAGGAGAGGCTCCAGAGAAATCTGGCCTCTTAAGCTACAATTCGCAGCTCTGATACTCGAAATGAGCCCATGAGACATCCACACGGTGGTGGAAGAGGTTGCAGACCCCGAGATAGGGAAGCATGAAGCTTCGGAGGCTGCAGCCTACACGGGAGGGGAGCCTGTTGGACGGCTGCTGCCCTGCCTCCATTCCCAGCTGCCACACGCCGGCTTAATGATATGCTTGCTGGTCTTGCTCCCCCCCCCCGTGTCCCCACTGAGGAGAGCTCGAGATGTGGGGAGACTATGGGCACTGAACACCCAATGCCTACCTTGCAAGTTGGCGGCTCAGAACTCATTACCAATGGCTCATGCTTTATGGAGCTCCTGGGAGGAGAAGTCACACTACCCACTGCAATGGAAGACTGCAAAGCAAGTCCGCCGTTTACTCCCGCCAGGGAGAGTTCAGGACTGTGAGAGTCACTGGATCCTCGGTCTGCAACACACGACCCCTGGTGGGGCCGGGGCTGGAGCAGAGTCATGACTCCATGATGCAAAGCGGATTCACCCAGCAAACTCTCCAAACAGCTACTAAGCTTGCCAAGCATTGAAGTTGGATGACTAACAAGCCTGTAAAGGGAAGCTCTACTGCCACCCAGATGAGTCCCTGTGATACCTGCAAGAGCCTGTGGACCTTTATTATTTTGCTTATTCAGACCTGCTGTATCACCTCTTAACAGACTATAAGTCTCCAGCGACCCAATCAAGTGTATGTAACCACAGAGGTACTCACAGCCCAACATTGCAAGGACTCTACAAGAGTCAGCAGCGTTTAGGTTAACACTTGCTGATCAAAACTTCTTTGACACTGAAGCCAGTTTGTTTTCCCTAACCACTTCTCCTGATTAGTCTCACACAGATTTATGGAATATTACAGCGGCCTGCTCCGCCCCAGTGGTCTTTACTATATTTTGTCTGCCTACCATGTAAACTAACGTTTATCACTTAGTTCCAACCATGTCTTGCCTATCTTAAATGCGGCATACATTCAGGGAATTAGATACATTTATCTAGCATGATTCTTCCTCATCAAATTTTTTTGCAGAATTGTCAAATGCCATTTCACTGTATTGTCTTGTAACATGTTGTGACGGATCACTATAACCATGGATTACCATCCCCTTTGTTTATGCAGTCAACTATGTGTTCAGGACATTGCATTCCCCTTTATTTTAGTTCTCCCTGTCATTCCCTTACCAAACAAGAAGTGTGCCACCTATTAACATTATGTCCTCAATACACTTCGAACTCCCGAACAGTTGAAACGGTTCAAATTAAGTCGAAGTGGTCGCCATTCAACATTCAAACACGTGGCAGCGGCCATCTTAAGCCGCGAGTACTATGAGTGGTGTTTGGTCGTCGAGTTCATGAAACTCAAATCGGACACACAACATCACGAACACCGCTAAAGTTGCATCTTCCATGGATGTTCGACTATTCGAACAGGAGTTGAAAAGAAGCTCCCGACCAAGAGACATATACTGACTGTGTTCACAAACGGCCACGTTTGGTATTTGAAACGTTATTTTGAATCCTCGAAGTAGACCGGCCGCACAGCCTGATTCTCTGGAACTGTTTTGGGCATGAAACCATGCATAGGGTCGGCTAAAATAAGACTTCCATAAAAATTCTGAACCCCTGAACTGATCTGGGTGATTTTTGCATATGTTGGTCACCCAGATCAGGGCTATCAAGGGATTGTGGGGATATTGTGTGTTTTGGGGTACTTTTGGGGTTTTGTAAAATATATGTTCTTTTTCACTTGGAGATTATTGAGTTGATAGCGTAATGAACTCAATTATATCCTAAGCAGAAGGGAGGGATTGTATGCCATGTGTGGGAGTGCCTTAGATTGTCACTCTATTGTTATTGGTTTACAAAGCTGTGTCACTGTCCCCAACAAGGTCCATGTGGGCGTACACTTTGCTTGGGGACTTGCGTTAGAAGGCCAGTGTGGCTACCATTAAACCATTTCTGCTTTACCCTTGACATAGAGCCCCGCCTCGAGTTTGCAGGGACCTGCTGTTGTGGCATTGCAAGCCAGCCTGTATCTTTACTTGCATAGCAAAAATATTTTTTTTTTATTTATTTTTTTAACTTGGTTCGCAAATCAGACAATATATTTAGTATATTGATGTGTATATATCAATGAGAAGATAACATTTGATGTGCAGCTTGGAAAGTGTCTTTATTGTTTACACAAGTGCAGTGTTACAGGTTCTTTCTCCCCCACTCACAAAAAACTAAATCCATATTACCTTAATATCAGACTAAATTTGCAACATATAGCCAGGACATACTTAATATGTAAAATAATTACAGTGGCATGTGTTTAAAGCAGAGAAGCTATATCCTCTGTATTCCTTTCACCAGAGCTTTTGCCTGGGTTGTTGGGTTGTCTTTGTTACAAACCAAACCTTGAGTAAAAATGAATATAGTTAAGCAGGGGTATCTAGGTTTAAATAATATCCTGCACTTGAGCTTAATGCAAAATGTGACGACCCCCTTCCTCAAGGGTCCTCTGCAATGCACATTCCATCTTTTGACTTAATAGACTCAGTAGTATTACTTGTCCTTGTCCCTTAAATATATCATAGTTGCGTACGGTGTGTGATTCCAAAAGAACTAACTCTATGAACTGGAATACAATCAACACTTGTGTGAATTATCCTTATCTTATTGGAACATTGACAAGACTTAACTGGACACTTTGCACTGGCTTGCTAATTTCTGTTTTACATCTTGTTTTGAATTGTGTGTGTGTTTATTGTTATATCATGCATTATTAGTTATTCTTGTTTTATTAGAATATATAGGTATATATATAATTAAGATCTGTATTCACTCTAATGAATCCATACCTTCCAAGTATGCACCCATCCATTCCAGGTACTATAACCACATCAATTATTTGAAATGGTTATGGTACCTATAGTTCGTTTTCAGTGATTAATAAACATTTTAATATGCTGGTTATGCTAGTCTCAAAAAGCAAGGCTACCATCTTTTTGTTGGAACTGCTTATTAAATCTAGACGCTTAATGCAAATGCATCTAGTTAATATGAACCCTGTTTTTCCTATCAGTTTTCACAAGAAGCATGCCATCCAGCTGACTACCATGGCTTCATACTCTAATTTAGTTATTCTGGTCCTTATCATCTTGGACAAGACATCTTCACAATCTGGCATACCAAGTTATCTCCTCGGTAAGAAAGATCAATTGCGCAAAGTGTGACTCATATTGGAGAAAATGTTCTTCTTACACAAATGCTCAATATGAGGCAATTTAGTGTACACACACACGCTGTTTATCCCTTAAATGGGTTTTAACTTCATTTCTTTTTTTTATACAGAATATTCTTTACTAATTCACTGGAATGTTTGAATATGTATAGTCGATTTTGCAATCACATGAGATACAATATTCTTAAGTGTAGAATGTATTGTTTACATATTTTTAAAGTTCATATTAAAATTAAGAAATTACATTGCACTCACATCTCTCGGGTTATTCACTAAAATGAGAATTCAATGTGAATGTAAAGTAAATTTAAAATCTAAGATCAAAATAACCAAACTGGAAAAGGTCTCCAAATAAACTAGGCTGTCAGCTTATCTGGCCCTAAATGTAAAAATCATTTTAAATTCAATTTCAATAAACAAACTAGTAAATAACCCTGTGAATGTTATTTTAGTGTGCACCTTGATACTGCCATATCTTACTTTTTTTATGGATTTTGTATCAATATCAGATTTTTATTTTATGAGCAGACACCAAATTGTTAATTGCACACATAATATCATTAGTGTACATCTGTTTTTTTTAACTTTGGGTTAAATTGAGAGATTTAGAGGCTCATTTCAAACATGAGTGCATCCACTGGTGAGTGTCTCCAAATTAAATAAATAGGAGAACAGGGTTGTTCACTAAACACTAACTTTTATAAAACTAAATCTGAATGGCTAAAATGGGCAGTTTAAAACACATGCTAAAAATGAGTTCAGAGATTGGCAATCTTTGGCACTACAGATGTTTTGGACTACATCACCCTTGGTGCTTTGCCAGCATTATGGCTGTAAAAGCATTATGGGACATGTAGTCCAAAAAATCAAGAGTGCTGAAGGTTGCCTACCCCTGATTTATTACAACAGCTTGCTACGTTAGCCTAAGTTTTGCCTAAGTTTAGCAAACAACCCTGTAAGCAAGGGAAAGGGAACAGAACTAACAACATATCAAATTGCAGGCCAGAGCTATAAAAATTGCTAAATAGGATACATTTCCCCAATTTGCTTTTGGACTTTTTCTGGGTGTCGTGTGTCAAGATTAAAGGGACACTATAGTCACCAAAACAATGTTTGCTTAATGAAGCAGTTTTGTTGTATAGGCCATGCCCCTGTAATCTTGCTCATCAATACCCCTCCATTTAGGAGTTAAATCACTTTGTTTATGTAGCCCTAGGCACACCTACCTGCATGTGACTTTCACCGTCTTCCTAAACACTTCCTGCAAAGAGTAATCTAATGTTTATACTTCCTTTATTGCAAATTCTGTTTACATTAGAATTTCTGACATCCTGCTTTGTTAATTATTATTATTATTATTATTATTATTATGATATTTATAGAGCGCAGTCAAATTCCGCAGCGCTTTACAATGGGTGGACGAACAGACATGTAGTTGTAACCAGACAAGTTGGACACACAGGAGCAGAGGGGTTGAGGGCCCTGCTCAATGAGCTTACATGCTAGAGGGAGTGGGGTAAAATGACACAAAAAGGTAAGGATAGTATTAGACTAGTGACAGTTGCAGAAGAGGAATCAGTCAGGAGCTATTAACAGTTTAATTGATACGCTTTTATGAAGAAGTGGGTTTTTAACGATTTTTTGAAGGAGTGGAGACTGGGTGAGCATCTAACGGAGGAGGGAAGCGAGTTCCACAGGAACGGTGCAGCCCTCGAGAAATCTTGAAGGCAAGCATCAGAGGTGGGAGTACGGACAGAAGATAGACGTAAGTCTTCAGCAGATCGTAAGGGCCTAGACGGGACATACTTGTGTATAAGGGAGGATAGATAGGTGGGAACAGCATTATGTAGAGATTTGAAAGCAAGAACCAGAATTTCAAATTGAGCTCTATATTTTATAGGAAGCCAATGTAGGGACTGACAGAAGGGTGAGGCATGGGAGGTGCGGGCGGACAGGAAGATGAGCCTCGCCGCCGCATTCATTATGGACTGTAACGGCACTAGTTGGGAGCACGTAAGACCACTGAGAAGCGGATTACAGTAGTCAAGGCGAGAAAGGACAGTGTAATGGACCAACACCTTAGTCGTATCTGGCGTTAAGTAGGGGCGGATGCACGCAATGTTTTTGAGATGGAAATGACAGGATTTGGCGATAGATTGAACATGAGGCTTGAACGAGAGGTCGGAGCCAAAGAGAACACCTAGGCAGCGAGCCTGCGTGGTGGAGCTGATGGTAGCACCGTTGACTTGGAGGGAGACAGACACAGGAGTAACAACACTTGAGGGAGGAAAGACCAGGATTTCAGTTTTGGTCAAGTTTAGTTTAAAGAATAGCTTGCTAGACCCTGCAGGAGACTCCCGTATGTGCTTAAAGTTCAATTTACAGAGCAGGAGACAAAAACATTTAAAGTAAGTGACATTTGACTGAAAATGAAACCATTTGGTTTCATGCAGGCTGTCAGATGATTTTCCATATTACTAGGTTAATTTGCTATTGTCAAACAGGCAGGTTGCAACATAATTCCCTTACTTGTTTCATTGTATTCCCCAGATAGCATTAAGGATATTACACCCATAAATCTAATCTCCTTAAGTAATAACCCAAGTAAGCCTAACACTACAAGTCTTCTTAAAGGAATACTTCTGGCACCATAACTACAAGTACACACCATAACTATAACCGCTGCTTGCTTTAGTGGTTATATTGCCCAGAGTGTCCAGTTGCCACCCTCCACCCATTTTAAGTTGTTTTTTTTTTTTTTTACAAGAGAGCACCAGCTTATCTCAGCTAATAAACTAGGGCTGTGCTCAAGTGAGCTAAAATAAGTTCCTGCTGAAGAGCGGCTGGCTCTCTGAAAAGTAATGTTTGTTGTCAATGCATTATAACTTACTATTTAATAAATAAACCCTTAGAGGCAGCAAAAAGACACAGAAAGAAGATACTAACAGTTTTATTTGCCTGCTCTCTAGACTGCCCTGCTGATGTGTACATTCTCCTGGATACATCGGAAAGTGTTGCACTCAGAGCTCAGCCCTATGGAACCCTTGTGGAAAGCATAAAGAAGTTTGCCATAGATTTAGTGGATCGGATGAATAGCAGGTAACAGCTGTTTGAAAGCAATTCTTGTAGAAACATGAATTGTCTGCATTTCAGGTGGCTCATGAGGACAATAGAGAATATCCCTAAACATTTGGGATTCCACATGTAGAATGAATAAGAGATACAAAACAAACCTCATAGGAAACATCTGGATGTACGTAATCAATAATCATTAGATAAATGATAGCAGTGTGTACTTTTTCATCTGCCTTGTTAAAGAACATTTTTCTGGCTATGAACTGTATAGTTTTTACTCTTTGGGTCCTGTCAGCACATTGCTGGTTCTAGTTTAGGACGTGCGTTTTTTGGCTTTTGGTGTTTTTACGCTTTGATTTAAAATCCTGCATTTGAAACAGTGCGCTGTTGCCAAGGGTGCCTGCAGTAACGCAGATTGAAGGGTGAAATATAATGCTTGTCTGTGTTCATTTTCATGTCATGCTGAAAATTCTGTCAGAATTTTGGAAACGTGATTTCTCCAAAAAACTGTGCCCATGGCAGATACACTCCTGCATGCAAACACAAGCATTATACACAAACACATCCCTGTATTCGAACACCAACATTTGATTTCATACACTAACACTACACACAAACACATCACAAAAGCCAACACTGCCAAAGAGCCATGTATGGAAGCACCAACAATACACACATACACACCTGTGCATGCAAACATCAGCATTATAGACAAATAGACATATACAGACACCCCATCCAAAAAACATGCCTTCATTCACACACAGGCACTGCAAACAAATACAACCCTTCAGGGATGGGCAAAAGGTAGATCCAAAGTTGGCAAAGCATTTGAGAATTGTATGGCAATTGAAGATTTACCTTTCGACCAACTCTTCTCTGTAGGGAAGGACAAAAATGTTGTCATCTCAGTAGTTCCAACACTGTAGGTGCACTTAAAATTAGATACAAACTAATATGTTTTAGATCTACTATGAGGTGAGGTAATATGCTGTGCCGGAGATGATGCTGGATTGATAAGAGGTGTCACAGTGAAGGTAGTCGTGGAGGCAGCCACGAGTGTGTGACAATATGCTACTATTTGACTGAGTGAAGAAGGGAGGATGATAAATGGTGTTTAGTATGGGTGGCCAAAGGTATGTCCCGGGATGTTGTTAACCTAAATCTCACTGGATGCTCTGCAAGCCTCAAAGCTGACAAGTCATCTTGGGAGGTACAGATCTACATCAACTGGAAATTTACCTTTGGCTACCCCTGGTGTAGTGCAAACACAAGGCCAGTGTAAGAAATGGCCACAATTTAATTTATCATTCTTGCTTTAGATTCCATCGATGTGATAGGATACTGACTTGGAATGCTGGAGCTCTGCACTACAGCGATGAGGTGAAGACGATCAGTGACATGGTCAGCATGAGGTCCAACAAGACTGGCCTCAAAAAAGCCATTGAAGCAGTGACTTATCTTGGAAAAGGAACCAACACTGACTGTGCCATCTCTGCTGCTACAGGACAACTTCTGTCTGGGTAACATACACCAGATGGTATTGAGCAATATATGATTGGTTGTTTTATTTCTGTTTACTTTTATAGCTGAAAAAACCATGGCAGTACACACTTATATTATACTCCTTGCACTATGAATATAAAGAATAATTTTTAAAAATGAGTAAAAGACAGAAATATAGATCATGATAAGAATATACAAGCAGCACAAAATAAAGAAGTACTGAGGTAACATTTAATTCAGTTTCCAACAGAAATAGACCAACAGGATTTTAAAATGACTTTTTGGGGGGAGTTGATGTCTTTTTTTTACAATCTATGTTTGTTAATTTTTTAGTTTAATTGAGTAAAAGACTAGTTGGTGATGTTGCACTTTGTCTGCCTGGCTCACTACAACAGCCTTTACTTTTCCTGCATATTTTTGTTATTGATATTTTTCACTCTTATAGAGCCCCTATTTCTTGCTGTACATATGATCATATGCCTTACAGATCCTAGTCTTCCTTATGAAACCATTGGAGCCACCTGGGGTGGTACAATCTGTTGTTTACTAATATTTCAGTGCCAAGGGTTACCTCGTAGCCTGTATCCTCTCAAGTCTTATGTTTAGACTTATAGTTAAGCCTGTCTATTACATTTTATTTTTTTTAAGTGCAATTCTCATATGCTACGACACTGAATCCACATGTATGTTTACAATATGCTTGTCATCATAAGAATATACAAGCAGCACGTAGTTAATCATAAAAACAATGTGTTAGCAATGAAACAGCATATCAAATGCTAGCTAACGTGATATAAATTTAGCAAATATGTATAAAAAAAGAAAAAAGCTGTATTTCATTAAAGTGGATGACAGCCTTAAAGAAGAGGCTGTTGTCCGCAGACAGACAGATAGATTGATGATCAAATTACAGCATGTAAGAGATATAAGGGTGTAATATATTTTAATAATATTATGTTAGTTTCTTCAATATTCTAGGATTACAGGAAGAACTCGGCTGAGAAACTCAGAATTTAAAGGAACACTATAGGGTCAGGAAAATATGTATTCCTGATCCTGTAGTGTTAAAACACCATCTAGCTGTCCCACCCCTCCCTGACTCCCCCTTGCCCTCCTAAATATAGTAAAAGCTTTCCTTTATTCCAGTCTGATGCTTGCTCTGCCCCTGATCTGCATGTTTGGCTGAAATCGTCAAAAGTGTTGATCTGAGCCAATTACAATGTTTTCCCATAGGAATGCATTGGATTGGCTGAGCTTGTCAAGGACGCAGAGCCAGCAAAAGCCAAGCACAGCCCTGGCCAATTAGCATCTCCTCATAGAGATGCATTGAATCAATGCATCTCTATGAGGAAAGTTCAATGTCTCCATGCAGAAGGTGGAGACACTGAATGGCAGTGCTGCAGCCCCAGGAAGTACATCTAGTAGCCAACTGAGGAGTAGACAGTGGAGGTATCCCTAGGCTGTAATGTAAACAGTCTTTTTGCGACAAAAAGCATGAAGGAAATAATTATACTCACCAGAACAAATACAATAAGCTGTAGGTGTTCTGTTGAGTATAGCGTTCCTTTAAATAATTTTGTAGACGTGTCATATATCAAGATCGATTTCTACACATTACTAGACAGTGTAGAGATTTGTCCTTATTTGCCTATGCTTTGTAAAAGCAATCTAGGCTTGTGCAAGCAGACTGTGTATTTTTAGCCTAATCCTCACTTATACAACAAATTCCCCTTCATTCCTGCAACCTGAGAAAACCACTTTTCATATGGATTGTATTTCTCATCGGGAAAGTTCTAACAATGTGCATAGAATCTCTCCAGGCTTCCCTAGAAAGGAATAAGCTGTGACAGGGAGCCGCTTCTATTTCATGGTTTGTATATACTGGCAGCTGGAGAAACTGAAAATATTTTTCTCCAAAATCGTGCCTGGATTTCTTTGCGTACTAAAGTTAAAAGAGTTGTGCAGATGTGTCCATTTGAATCCAACGGCCTGTGGCGATGCCATATGAAAAATATTGCATTTTAAAGACTGATTATGGTCTTACTTCGTTTTTCATTATTTTGATACATAGGAATTTTCAGATATAGTGATTCATTATACACATTATGCACACATGAGAACAGTAGCAGATGTTGAGTTTCAATTTGTGGACTTATAAAAAAGCCAAAATGTTCCTCTTGTTGTCCAATAGCCAGCAGGGAACTAACTGCATATTAGGATAGTCTAGAAGAAAGCATATGATTCCTTCCTAAGGATCAATGCTCCAGTTTTGTTTATTTATTCAATTCGGTGCCTCGTGATTGAAGGGAGATGGCCAATGAATGTATTCATTTATATTTTGTACTAAAACATGCCTATGTAGTTGGCATGGCTCAATTCATTCAAATCCAGTGAAATGTTTTATCTTTGTTCAGTTTGGATGAGTATAGCCATGTCTCTTATACCACAAAAGCCATCCTCTTAAAGTGACGGTGTAAGGATAAGATCATGGAGAATTCTTAGTCTAAATAATTGTTTCTAAAACCTGTCTGCTTAGTGGATTTCATTACATTCTCCACCCAGTACCAGTACATAGTTACATAGCTGAAAAGAGACATGAAAGGTCCATCAAGCGTCTCTTGCATCTATTTTTGCAGTTGGTCCAAAAGAATGGGGGAAAAACAGTTTGAAGCACTTCCAATTGAGCAACAATCTAGTAAAAAATACTTTCTTGACCCCAGCATGGCAGTCAGATATCACTTGTCACCAGTTATATCATTAAATATTGAGTTTTTGCAAGAATGTATCCAATTTCTGTTTAAACATCAGTATAGACTCTGATAAAACTACATCTTCAGGCAGAGAATTTCACATCCTTATTGTTCTTACTGTAAAAAAATACTTTTCTTTGCCTTAGACTAAACGTTAGACTAAAAGTTCCTTTTTTTTCAGTCAAAATGAATGAACCTTGTGTCCTATGTATAGTCCTGTGTATAGTTCTGTTAATAAATAGATTCTCAGACAATGGTTCTTTAGAAAATCCTTCTTTACGTGCTCAAAATTGAACAGTATATTCAAGGTGCGGTCTTACCAGTGATTTATAAAGTGGCAAAATAATCTGTTTATCCCAAGAATTAATGCTCCTTTTTATACATGACAATACCTTACTGGCCTTAGCTAATGCTGATTGTCTATAAAAAAAAAGTCTATAAAAAAATGTTTATATACAGTTGTTCCATAAACAAAGATCATATATATGTGACAAAAATATTCAAGATACTGTCTAAAGCATTTCACTTCCCAAATATTTTTTTAAAAAGCTGAATGAATAATTGAAAAATAAAATCTGTGTACATTTATATAATTTTAATTTTTACATTTGTCTGCAAAGCAACCTATGCACAACATTTTACTAAATAAAGATTGTAAAAAAAATTATAATTTATCAGTCAGTCTGGAGAAGCTTTTGATTTGTAATATATCTGCAAAGTGTATGCAAACTGAAATGAATGGTAATTCATTCCACTAATATATTATTATGTTCTTTACCTACATTTATTAGATAAACCTCTATCTGTAAGTCAAAAGTTGTCTAAAAAGTACATATAAACTTGTCATTCTACTAGTTATGACCTCATGTCCACTTAATGCAAGTATTTGAAATGCTAAAATATAATGCTGTTATTTGTTGTTTTTAGTTGAAAGGAGCACTATAGGATCAGGAACACTGACCCTATAGTGTTTAATCAACCATTTAGGGGGCGTGCCCCCCCCCCCCCCTCCCAAGTCCCCTTAGAAAGTGTTAAAACTCACCTTATTTCTGCTGGCCTTGTCCCGATCTGCCTCCTTGGTGACATCATCAGAATTTCTGATTTTTAACTAATCAAATGCTTTCCTATAAAGAAAGCATTGGATTTGCAGAAATTGGCAAAGAGGCGGGATTGGGGCAGGGCCAAATGCTATTTTGGCCAATCAGCACCTCCTTAAATCAATGCATCTCTATGAGGAAAATTCAGCTGCCTATTGTGCTGCCTACTGTGCAGAACTGCCCCATGAGGCACCTCCAGTGACCTTCTGATGAGTGGCCACTTGGAGGTGTCCCTAGAGGGCAATGAAAACACTTCCTTTTCTCTGAAAGTAGTGTTTGCATGAAAATGACTGAAGGCAATGGTTATCCTCACCAGAAGATGTATGTGCGAATTATATAGCACCTTTTTTTTTCTTGATTTATTGGTGAATAGCGTGACTGTGTAACAATTGCATACTTTTAAGTGAAATATTATCTTGATTGTTTTTTTGATGAATGTAAGGTGCCTGCCATAATCTAGCACAGGTACCTTTTGGCACGTCTGATGTTGTGGACTATGTATCCACTGATGCTTCATTAGCATTATTGCTGTAAGAGCATTAAGGGAGATGTAGTCTACAACATCTGAAGTGCTGAACGTTCATTATCTTCATTAAAAGTGTTTTCACAAATCCTTTTATATGATGACTGCCTTGATAATTCCTGGTTCTGTTCTGTTACTTCCTGGTTTGGTTAGCTCAGTGGAGCCAAACTCAAGAAGCTGCCAATTGCCCAGAGCACCTGTCTTGCAAAGACTTCTCATTGAGCAGCATTGGGAAGTCTGTGATTGGACAGCCCCAGATAGTCTGGGATCAGAAGGGGAGGACTTGCAAAGACAGCAGACAAGAGAACTGCAGCTTTTGCTAATTATTTTCAGATATAACCCCAATACAAAATGTGTAATTAAATGTATGTAAGTTTTAATTTGGAGTATATCTACTAAACATTAATTTTTGAAAAACCATTTATTTATTTTTTGGGCAATGTAGTGTCTATTTAAATGCTTTCCTACTGCTGCTTGTGCTAATTTGGGCAAATATTAAAGCGTTTTGTAGATCTGAAAAGGAAGTACATGTATGTATTGAATTTATCTTCTGTCATACTTGTTTCCTTTTGCATCCATTTGAAGTTCATTGTTTTCATATGTGATGCGTGTTTTTTATTCACATATGAGAATGATCAATTTTAAAGCATACAGTGGATTGTACTGAACGAGACGTGCTTAAGTGGTTGAAATAAGCACACTTCAGCTGGATTTGCCTTTATTATGAGAATAACAAATTTGGTTGTGGTTTGGCTATTTAAACGGAATCAGTCCTTAGTGAAAAAAACTACAGTGCCTTGCAAAAGTATTCACCGCCCTTGACTTTTTACCTATTTTGTTACATTACAGCCTTAAAGGGACATTATAGTGACCCAGACCACTTCAGCTCAATGAAGTGGTCTGGGTGCCAGGTCCCTCGGGTTTTAACCCTTCACATATAAACATAACAGTTTCAGAGAAACTGCTATGTTTACATTTGGGGTTAATCCAGCCTTCCGGACAGCCACTAGAGGCGCATCTGCGACACTGGAAGTGAATTTCGCCTCCATCGCGCAGAGCGTCCATAGGAAAACATTGAAAAAATGTTTTCCTATGGACACTTTGATTAAGGTAAGTGGCTGATTAAGGTAAGTAGCTGAAGGGGTTTTAACCCCTTCAGCGCCACGGGAGGGGGACCCTGAGGGTGGGGGCACCCTCAGGGCACGATAGTGTCAGAAAAAAACGCTTTGTTTTCCTGACACTATAATAATCCTTTAAGTTCAATGTTTTATTAATCTGAATTTTATGTGATGGATCAGAACACAATAGTCTAAGTTGGTTAAGTGAAATGAGAAAAATATATACATAAAACTATTTTTTATAAATAGAAAACAGAAAATTGGCATGTGTGTATGTATTCACCCCCTTTGTTATGAAGCCCATAAAAAGCTCTGTGCAACCAATTACCTTCAGAAGTCACATAATTAGTGAAATGATGTCCACCTGTGTGCAATCTATGTGTCACATGATCTGTCATTACATATACACACCTTTTTTGAAAGGCCCCAGAGGCTGCAACACGTAAGCAAGAGGCACCACTAACACTGCCATGAAGACCAACGAACTCTCCAAACAAGTAAGGGGCAATGTTGTTGAGAAGTACAAGTCAGGGTTAGGTTATAAAAAAATATCCAAATATTTGATGATCCCCAGCAGCGCCATCAAATCTATCATAACCAAATGGAAAGAACATGGCACAACAGCAAACCTGCCAAGAGATGGCCGCCCACCAAAACTCACGGACCGAGCAAGGAGGGCATTAATCAGAGAGGCAGCACAGAGACTTAAGGTAACCCTGGAGGAGCTGCAGAGTTCCACAGCAGAGACTGGAGTCTCTCCACATAGGACAACAATAAGCCGTACGCTCCATAGAGTTGGGCTTTATGGCAGAGTGGCCAGAAGAAAGCCATTACAAAATGGCACGTTTTGAGTTTGCGAAAAGGCATGTGGGAGACTCCCAAATCTATAAAGGAAGGTGCTCTGGTCTGATGAAACTAAAATGTAACTTTTCGGCCATCAAAGAAAACGTTATGCAAACCCAACACATCACATCCCAAAGAGCAACATCCCCACATTGAAACATGGTGGTGGCAGCATCATACTGTGGGGATGTTTTTCAGCAGCCGGGACTGGGAAACTGGTCAGAGTTGAGGGAAAGATGGTGCTAAATACAGGGATATTCTTGAGCAAAACCTGTACCACTCTGTGCGTGATTTGAGGCTAGGACAGAGGTTCACCTTCCAGCAGGACAATGACCCCAAACACACTGCTAAAGCAACACTTGAGTGGTTTAAAGGGAAACATGTAAATGTGTTGGAATGGCCTAGTCAAAGCCCAGACCTCAATCCAATAGAAAATCTGTGGTCAGACTTAAAGATTGCTGTTCACAAGCGCAAACCATCCTACTTGAAGGATCTGGAGCAGTTTTGCAAGGAGGAATGGGCAAAACTCCCAGTGGTAAGAAGTGGCAAGCTCATAGAGACTTATCCAATGCGACTTGGAGCTGTGATTGCCGCAAAGGGTGGCTCTACAAATGATTGACTTTAGGAGGGTGAATAGTTATGCACATTGACTTTTTCTGTTATTTTGTCTTATTTGTTGTTTGCTTCACAATTAAAAAAAAAAACATCTTCAAAGTTGTGGGCATGTTCTGTAAATTAAATGATGCAAATCCTCAAACAATCCATGTTAATTCCAGGTTGTGAGGCAACAAAACACGAAAAAAGCCAAGGGTGGTGAATACTTTTGCATTGTATATCACTTTATCTATTGCATTCTGTGCTTGTTACTTTAAGTGGAATGCCATATTTTCAAGCACCTTAATTTATATGGATGATGTCATCTCTGTGATCAATTTCCTGTATATCATTGTATCCGTTAAATTACATTTACGTAATATAATGTAATTAAAATTATCTTTTTTTTTTCCTCCATCATTTCACACTGGACAGGGGAGGCTATAGAAAGGGGAATAAGTTCATGGTAATTGTAACGGATGGACACCCCAATGATGGTTACAAGGAACCTTGTGGTGGAGTCAGCTATGCTGTTAGTGAAGCAAAATCTGCAAACATTAAGATCTTCAGTGTTGCAATCACTCCTAGCCATGCGGTAAATAGCAATAAATCAGCAACTGCGATACACAGAAATCCTATAAAATGCATGTATCATAAAACAGAACTGTTCTTTTATGGTAGATGTAGATAGACAGATGGATGGACAGACAGATAATAGCAACAGACAATATTGATCATGTGTCAGATGCAATGCTTGAGAGAAAGAAAATGCTCTTTTGTTGATTTTGGGAGCATATTACATATTTACAGAAAGTGGTGCAAAGTTAAAAATGTTTGCAATCACCATAGAAATGACCGTGTTCAGCAGTACCACTTTTCTATGAACATTTTTATAATCTCCCTATAGTGCTGCTGTTAAATATATATAAATTACAATTATATAGTAAACAATATATTTTGAAAAACTTCATCTGTGCTACTTTTTATTTATTTTTTTAAATAATTATACTCAGTTGTCATCTGTGAGTTGGTTTAATGTGAAATAACGCAGAATGTGGACAGACTTGCGCATGGCAGGATTGCTTGGTTCAGCCCAAATTTTTTTTCAAAGTTGAAATTTTGTTTTGAATGTCTGACAGTAGTTCATGTGACCACTCAACTTGGTTGAACATTGCTCATGAAGAAATATTCAGGGAAACATTCAAACAAGCCAAAATAGGCAAAATATCAGAATATTGCAATATGTATATATATATATACACACAGACATCCCAACAGAGGAGGTGGCTTCACCAGCTACTGCACCAACTCCTCCAAAGCATGCATGTCCCCCCCACACCAAACATGTACGAGCACCTTAAAACACAGATACACATACTGGCACACAGATACACACACACTGAAACACATACACTGTCACATACACTCAGATACATACACTGACACACAGATACACACATTCAGATACACACACTGGCACATACACATACGGTCCTACACACAATCTGACAGACATACATGCCATACTTTATACATTTGCAGCCGCCCTCCTGTTAGCTTACCTTTGTGTCCAGGAGAGTGGCTTGCGTAGGTTCTGTTCCTGGCTGAGGCTGATGAGAATGAGCATGCAGCAGCAGCTGCCGACCGGGCCCCTGTTTAGCAAGTTTAGAAAGTATTATTTAGCAAGTATTATACTAAATAGTACAACATCTTGGAAATCACTCACACACACTGTATGTCAGAATGTGTGATTTATGGGATATTCTATATGATTTGTGGCTGTCATGGATCCCTATTCAAAATGTGGGATTCTCCCGGAACTCTAAATATGTATGGCACATTTTCCACCATTTGGTTCACAGATCAATTTAGAAAAAGTAACTAATAGAGGGAAAGGTGCTGAAGCAGCACAAAAGCTTTGTATATATTATATATACTTATTAGATATATAATATAGAAATATTGATTTTTTTTTTACTGCTTCTCATTTTTTCCCTCTATTGGTCACTTCTAACTTGGTCTGTGGGTAAAATCAACATTTAGTGGGTGTTCTGTAATCATCAGTCATCTTTTTTCCCATTCTTTTGTTAAGCCATGGCTAGAAAGACAGATACTGAACCAAACGAACATATTTGGTCATCATCCAATCTTATGCTCGATTCTACGTCCATACAGCACTTCAGAGATCAGTCCAAATTCAGGCTAATCACAATTTAGATGAATCTCTATGCAAAAGTCTAGTACATAATTAATATTACGTATCAAGCATGTCAGAAGGCTGCACAGTATAGTTCTCGAAGTAACGTTTATAATATTTTACAGGCTGAACGCATGAAAGAAATTGCCACAGATTCTAGATATAATCACATTTTATCAGCAGCCAGTGACGACTCTGCAGGACTTAAGCTTACAGTAACAGCCATCATCAATCAAATAGTGAGTAAAATCACCTTGTGTGTGTCATAAAATCTCTCTCATAGATTTACCAGGAAAAAAGCTGATATGAAACATTTTATGAGTGAGTTACCATGGAATTATAAGACAGTATTCCTTCTTATTCTGCCAACATCTATAGTCATCTTGGTGTTTAATTGGATTAACCCCTTAAGGACACATGACATGTGTGACATGTCATCATTCCCTTTTATTCCAGAAGTTTGGTCCTTAAGGGGTTAATTTGACTACATGGCTAACAATAAGTTCATGTGAAATACGATTTGTAGGTAGTGAAAAAAAGAGAGACAGATGAAAGTTTGTTTATATTTATAATTTTATTTTAGCTGTAAAAATATTGAAAAGCAAGGCTATAATATATATATATATTATCAGAAAATTCTTTAAGTTTGGAACTGGAGGTTAACCCCCAAAGCTGAATTTAAATTGTGATGTGATAACTTATTATTGACAGTTCAAAATATAAAAAATATTTGCAATACATGTACTTGTAGAAGTTCTAAGGTTTTACATTTTGATTGATCACTATAACATAGTGAGGTTAAGTAAATTAATAAAAAGTGATAGCAACCCTCAGTATTTTCCAATAGTTAGCGTTTTTCGGTCAGAATTGGGCCCCAACGCTGTATTTCAGTGATTAAAAATGGTACATCATGTTTATCAAGCTCCAGACCAATAAATTACTATGGCAGCATGGTTTTTCCAGGTGAAATGGAGACTCGTTTGACACCGGGACAAAATCTAGTAAAAGTGTTTTGCCATTTTATATTTGCCATATATTGCCTAGTGGTTGAAGAATGGGTCACTGAGGGAATTTTAAAAGTTGAAGAATTGGTCACCAGGCTAATACCATTTATGGAATTTGAGTCCTTGTTGAAAAAAAGTTTAGAACCATTGTGTTAGACTTGATTCCCCTATTGTGTCAGGCAATAACCGGAAGAATCAGTAACTATCATGAGATAATTATTTGACCTCTTTCTACACAATAAAGATTAAACCCGTTTTAAAGGTACACTCCTTGTCCCTTCAGGCTTATGTTAGACAACAGCATCCTTAGACATAATAAGTAATTACTTGTAGCAAATTTGAAACCGTTGATTGCAATCTGCATGACATGTTTTGTTGGAAAAATTATCTATAACATATGTGATAATGACATTTTCTTTTCTTTTTAAACAAGTTGGAAGATTCACATATCACGGTAAGTTCTAAAAACTGACTGTATAGCTTACAGCTTTATCCATTGTTATCATATAATAATTTGCTTTGTTGGTTTTGGTTTTGCAGTGCTGTGAGTTTGAATGTGAGGTAAGAACCAAATCACTGTTTTTTCTGTACATAATTAGTCCAAAATTTATTTTGACTGTAATTTTGTGTAATCTTAAAGAACCTCAGCACTTACATTTATTTTTATTTAACAGGGAATACGAGGGTCACCTGGACCACCTGGGAGTTCTGGTGAACTAGTAAGTCTCTCACTCTTTTATATTCATGCTTAGCTTTTCTTATTCTTTTCATTGTATCTTGAAAATACTTACTAGGCTTGCAATACAAGGTCTTACTGAAACTGAAAAGACTGTTACAGTTTACCATTCTTGTTCTGCTGTATTTTCTATTGTAGGGCAGTGAAGGAAAAAGGGGTCCCTCTGGCAAACCAGGAGGTGCTGGATCAAAGGTAAGAGTTTAAACTTGTCTAATACTGAAATTCGTATTACATAAGGTAATGTGCAAAAATCAATCATTGCTCCTAGTACTTTGTTCGTATTAGCCTAGACTAGAATGTGTAAGCTGTGTGTTGCTTATTTTCCAGTTTTGGATTAATTTATCGATCATTTAGATAAAAGCATAAGTGAGAAATGACCTGAGCAGAGAGTAAAGTCAGTGGCGTCACTTAGGCTCATGTCACTCCACCATGGACCTCCTCCCATACTATATCATGCTAAACCTTTTAATGTTTTTTGGGTTGATGTTACTCACTGGGATGAAACCAGGAACCACTGATACAGATGAAAGAATAAAAAAAACACTCATCCCTTCCTTGCTTGCCCTAAGAAACAGACCTGAGTGGATTGTTTGTGGTGGATGTGAGTGGGGCTTTGACAGAGTTTGATTGTGGTAATTGGTTGAATGCAATATGTAAGTGTGGAGTTGTCTGAGCGTGATTGTGTTTATATGTGGGACTTTGAGTATGATTGCGTGTGAGGGTTGTGTGTGCAATATTACTAATATTAATGCAGAATTATAATTATAAAATGAACACATGCATACACACAACCACAGACCCAAGCACATACACGCACCAACATGCATACACAGGCATACACAGGCACACACAGACACACACCAAAGCTGATGAATAAGGAGATCTAGCACTCTTAACACCCAATAACTCCTAAGGCTACACTAGTCTCCAAAGTATAAAAAAGAAAATAATAGCAATGCATCAACACCAGGTAGTTTGCACATGGAGATCTTTATTGCACTTGTTTGGATTGGTGCATTGTACACCGCCCCCATTGCTAGGATCAACCTGAATGGATATGAACTTTTCAGTTTGAGCCAGTGTTGTCCCATTTCTTCACTTTTATTTGCCCTTGCACTGGAGACTTTGCTAAAAAAAATAAAAAAAATAATCAACACTGATCTATTTATGGCATCCATGCACCCACCGAAGAGCACAGGATCTCAGCCTAGGCTGATGACGTTCTGTTCCTGGAGACCCAGCCCTCAATCTCACTTACACATATCATCCAAGAATTTCAGATTTATGTTTCACTCAGATACCTGAAAATGAATATGACAAAGTCTGAAATCCTTGGCTTCATTATTTCAGATGCTCAGTGTGAACAATTGAAGCAACAATTTCATTTCTAATGGCAAAACAACAGTTTAAAAGATGTAAATATTCAACTTACAACATCCACTTAGAAACTGTTCCAAAGCAACTTCGCTCCACTACTATTAAAAACGACCTTCTCCATTGGTCAGTTCTACATGTCACATGGCTAGGCTGCAATAGCATTTCAAAAATAAATATTATTCCCTGCTTATCATATCTTTTTCAAACTTGCCTGTACACATCCCTACGCATACTTTTAATCCTTGGAATCAGTTTTTACCAGGCCCACATTGGGTAATAGACCCCCAAGATTGCAATTTGGTACCCTTATGAGAACTTAGAAGAGTGGAGGCCATGAGATGCCAGACCCATTAAGTTATTAGTTAGGGCCTCCCATTTCCTGCATTTAGTGGAGTTGGCTGATGCACCCCCACATAAACTATGGGTCACCTTTTAGAAGCTAGTGAAATGCTATTTGTCATCCTTACTGTGGCTGTGTCCCAATCTTGACTATGCCCAATTCTCAGCCCTCCAAACTATTTCTCCCACAATGAAAATCTTGTCTAAGCTATGCCATTCTACCCACTACATCTCTGTGCTCTTCTTCGTGTCTGACCTGCTCCATGAATATTGGCAACTTCCAGCCAAAACACACACTCCAATATCTTCAAATACATTTATTGGAGCAAGTGAGACACCGCAATGTTTCGAGCCCTGATAGGGTCTTTGTCAAGCTACTTCACACCAGAAATGACAACAATTTAAAGGCAGAAACATAGTGAAAGTGTAAAATCAACTCAACAATTGATCAATAGTCAATTTATAATGTATAATTTCACCCTGTTCCAAATTATTATGCAAATTATATTTTTCTCATTTACCTAAATAATTGAAATAACAGTCAGCATAATTATCAACTATTAAGAGTAGAATTCAAATTTTATTGAACAAACCTCATAATGATTACAGTATTTTTTTAAACATAAAAAACTTGCAACAATGCACTGTTCCAAATTATTACGCACAGTAAGTTTCAAAACACTTTATAGGTTGTAAAGAACTTAAAATTGTCATTTGTTGTGTTTACAGCATACTTATTGAAATCAAAAGCTATTTCAATCAAACCTCAACAACATTTTAACTTTTTAGACATTTTAACAGGTCACGTTACATTTTAACATAGGACCCCTTATTTGATAGCAGGTTCACAAGTCTTGCATCTATTGAACTTCTGAGTTTTTGGACAGTTTCTGCTTGAATTTGTTTGCAAGATCTCAGAATAGCCTCCCAGAGCTGCTGTTTGGATGTAAACTGCTTCCCACCCTCATAGATCTTTTTCTTGAGAATGCTCCAAAGGTTCTCAGTAGGATTGAGGTAAGGGGAGGATGGAGGCCACACCATGACTTTCTCTCCTTTTATCCCCATAGCAGCCATTGATGCAGAGGTATTCTTTGCAGCATGAGATGGTGCATTGTCATGCATAAAGATGATTTTATTACTGAAAGCATAGTTCTTCCTTCTGTACCAGGGAAGAAAGTGGTCAGTCAGAAACTCCACATACTTTGCAGAGGTCATCTTTACACCTTCGGGGACCCTAAAGGGGCCGACCAGCTCTCTTCCCATGATTCCAGCCCAAAACATCCACCACCGCCTTGCTGACGTCGCAGCCTTGTTGGAACAGGGTGGCCGTCCACCAACCATCAACTACTCCATCCATCTGGACTATCCAGGGTTGCACGGCACTCATCAGTGAACAGGACTGTTTGAAAATTAGTCTTCATGTATTTTTCTGCCCAATGCAGCCATTTCTGCTTGTGAGCATTGGTTAGTGGTGGCCGAATAGAAGGTTTATGCACAGTTGCAAGACTCTGGAGGACTCTACACCTTGATGTCCGTGGGACTCCAGAGGCACCAGCAGCTTCAAATATCTGTTTGCTGCTATGTAATGGTATTTTAGCAGCTGCTCTCTTTATCCGATGCATGGATCTGGCAGAAATCTTCCTCAATGTGCCTTTATCTGCACGAACCCGTCTGTGCTCTGAATCAGCCACAAGTCTCTTAATAGTGTGATGATCATGCTTAAGTTTTCGTGAACTATCTAATATTTTCATACCTCGTCCAAGCCTATTTAACTATTTCACTCTTTTCGGCAGCAGAGAGATCCTTTTTCTTCCCCATATCCCATGAAAATGGTGCTCTGCTTAATAATGTGGAACACCCTCCTTTGGCAGTTTTTCTTTAAATTGGGCTCACCTGGCAATCTAATTATCACAGGTGTCCGAGATTGTTTTCAGTGATAAAAAGAGCCCTGAGACAATGCCATCCATGAGTTAAACTGAAAAACAAAATATTTAATCTTTGTGACACTTAAATAGAATTTGCATAATAATTTGGAAGAGGGTGTAGATGTGACGTGTGAAGTCATCGCGTATGGGTACTTCACATGCACGACGGGAGGGGGCGAATTTGAGTCTTACCTGATCTGGGAAGTAACTTTTCTTAGATTCAAGCTATCAGGATCTGCAGATGTGCTTTATTGTTTTATACTGTTTCTCCGATCATTTATTTTAGTTTTTAGTTAACTTCATTGGATCCAGCTGGTGAGTTGATCTGGAGTAATAGTGAGTACCAACTTATGCTTAATTAATTACATTAATGGCTAATTATAGATTATTAATTGACTATTAATCACTTGATGAGTTGATTTTACACTTTTACTATGTTTCTGCCTTTAAATGGTTCTAAATTCTGGTGTGAAGTAGCTTGACAAAGACCCTATCAGAGGTCGAAACGTTGCGGTGTCTCACTTATTCCAATAAACGTATTTTAAGATATTGGAGTGCCTGGATCCTCTTTCTACTATTGGTATCTACTCCTCTGGGCTCGTGCGGGCCTTTGTACAGTTTTAGCAACCTTTAGTTCACGTGATTGGAGTTCTTTTTGACATTTTTTTGCAAAAACACACAGAGCAGACTGGACAGAGAAAACAGCACAGAACTAGTGTATATGGGCTGAGATGCTTCCGGTGTCTGCCCCTCTGATGGAAGCCCACACTCCCTGCATGCACCCACCTAGTGAGGACACCGAGTACAGTAAAACTTTATTTAAGCTGAATAATCATATTTGTTTATCAGAAGCAAGATTCAGTTATAATATTAAGACGGTGGTTGGGCCAGATCTCATTAAGTGTGAAGAATGACTCACATGTCAGGGGAAGATAGTCCCATTCCAAATAAGGCGATCAGAAAAAAGGGAGAATAAATGCACCATCAATCTCAAGAAGCAGATGTATGTCTGGAATTTTGGTCCTTTCTGCTGTGAGGCCCTTCTAGCTGAATGAGTTTGGGAATGTTAGTATATTTCAGTTTCCTCAGTCACTGCATTTAGAACGGACAGGATGACATATGTGGCATTAGTGGTGCACATATTAATCTAAAGGGGCTTGCATTGTAATTCAGTCATGAATACTTGTAAAACAGTGACATTTTGTCAGAGTGAATAATAACAGAAAATTAGAACTCTGAATAAGGGGGAAAGCATAGAGAAACTCTGTGGCTTGCCCTTTGGTAATTCCCCGCACATTTCTCAAAAAAGGGTTTTGATGAATTGTGTCATTACAAAGGGAATCTATACTATATCAGACTGATCCCATCCAAAAGAGCAGTTCAGAACTGAAATGCCAGCAAGTTCTCTCACGAGAGGTACTGTCATGTTTCTGAGCAAGTCAGAGAGGAGACATGCCGGGGTTGACTTGAGGTTCTTTAATTTGAATCTTTGACATGTTTAGACAAGGAAACAATACGAGTAATAGGATAAAGAGGGGAAAGGGACACTAAAAACAGAGGGAGAAAGCAGAACCTATAAATGGGATCACGTGTAAGTATAATGGTAAGAGAAAAATGTGGAAGTGAAATAATAGGTTAGGAGGAAGAAGGAGAACCTACAAACAGGATTATAGGTTGAAAAAAGGAGTGGTTATAGAAATAACGAGTAAGGCAATATGCCCCAGGATAAATAAGGAGTTAGGCAATATGCCCCAAGCAGCTTATCAGGTAACAGGCGTAACAAGATAGGAAAAACCTATAAGAGAAATAATAGGTAAGAGGCAAACAATATATAATAGAATAGAGATAAACAGAATATGAAAGTATAATGGAATCAGGTTAAATAACATTTAGTAAATCAGAGTCCTTTGGTTGAAGGCAGTAATGCGGTTAGAGGTAATTGCAGTAAGGTTACTCAGGATTGAAGCAATCAAGTATTGATAGTCAGTATTATCCAGGTAAGTTGTGATGGATAGAACAAAAGTAATAAGGTAAATTGGTATTAAAAGTCCAGTAAGAATTAAAGCAGGGTGATATAGGTGATCAGGTTTTGTTTTACCAAGCTTCTTTGAGAAGAGCAGACTGGAAACAAGCAGGTTTGAAGAGTAGATCAAGATGGTTCAAAGTAAATTTGATTTAAACAGGTTTCTCTGTAAGAGCCAGGAGCAGAAGACTTGTCAGGTTCAGAACAATAACTTCTCTCTTTGTGAAGGCCACTTGGTTAGCAGATTATTTCATTGCATATCAAGTTAAGTTTTTCTAACAAAGTAATAAAGGTTAATTTCAACTGCTAGAGAAATCTCCATTGTGGATAAAGCCTACTCAATGTCCTCAATGTAGAGGACAGGTCCTATGATTCATTCCAATTAACATAATTAATAATACCATCAAAGTATTTATACCATACCTCCTCAACATTTAAAAAAATAATACAAGCAGGGTCCTCCCTCTTGTTTCCTGTTAAGGTTTGTTTGTTGTTACAACCCTAAATTAAAAGTGTATGTTAGTGCTATGTGATAATTTAACCAGCTAAGGTGCATTCGATTTGTCAGAAGCAAAAACAAATACAAGATTAGAGAACTCCAGGAATGAAAAAAAAAACATAGCTTAGCTTTTAGATAGCCCCTGCTCAGGTCTCAAAAACATTTTTGCTCCCATGTATCATTAAAGATAGAATGTTAAACTGCCACATATCAGACTGATTTCACCCATTAAGGAAGTCCAGATGAAACTGGTATCAGGCCCTCTGTGTACAAAAGATACAGCAACCCCAGATGATCATTCTGACCTTCCTTTGGTCTCATCAATGAGGTGTAGCTATACTCCTTTAGGCACAGTGTGCATGAGGTTCACTTCTGGATCACTCTTTTAACTTAAAGAGACCCTACGCAATTGCACAGAATAAAAAACAAACATGCCTTCATAAATATTGCAAAATCTTACTGTATTCAAGCCTGAAGATGTAGATCTGCGTGCTGTTAGACTCAGAAAAACAAGCAGTCTGCTGACATAATCAGAAGTGGTAGCCTGATTCAATCACAGTGCTTCCCCATAGAATTGGCTGAGACTGACAAAGAGGCAGATCGGGGGAGAGCCAGCAAGATTCAAACACAGCCCTGGCCAATCAGCATCTCCTCATAGAGATGAATTGAATCAATGAATCTCTATGAGGAAAGTTCAGTGTCTGCATGCAGAGGGTGGAGACACTGAATGTTTGGATGCATTTTAGGCAGCCATGGTCCAGGAAGAATCTCATATAGCCATCTGAGGAGTGGCCAGTGAAGTCTGAAAAGACAGCAAAAAACATGACGGTAATGATTCTACTCACCAGAACAAATCCAATAAGCTGTAGTTATTCTGGTGACTATAGTGTCCCTTTTAATTGTATAAGGTGACATTACACTTTAAGTTGTTTTAGGCTGCACTGGATCATTATTAAACGAGCGCCACATTTTCCTTTAAAAGGTTTGTATTGTTGGGCAGGCCCGGGGATTAAAGGCATTGAACTAGCACACCAACCCTTTAAGGTATCCACATACGTGGACAATGTCTGACTTACCCTAACTGACCCACTGCAGAGCTTACCATGCCTCATGACCCTTCTGCAAAAGTACGGGGAAATCTCCGGCTACAAAATCAACCACACCAAAACAATAGCGAAGCTCTTTCACCTCCCGACGCCGGACACAGTGACCATTAACCAAACGTACCACTTTAGGATTGAGACAAAATAATTCAAGTACTTAGGGGTCACTCTAATGGAAAACCCGGCCTCCCTCTATGTGCATAACTACACCTAGGTAGGCAGGCTACACTTTCCGTAAAAATGAACGTCTTACCAAGGCTACTGTTCCTATTCCAGTCCCTACCCATACGAGTTACCAAAGGGAATTTAACACCAATGCAAAAAGCAACTGATTCCCGCATATGGCAAAACAATCGACCGAGAGTAGCCAGGGGAATAACGTACCGACCCAAAGACAGGGGGGACTGCGTCTGCCCATCTATATCAATACTACTCAGCTAGCCCAGATTATCCACTGCCACTGCCCCCAGATCGCAGAAGATGGGTAGACATAGAGTCCCTGCTGACAGGGGCGGATTTGCCACAATTCTATATGTGGGCCCCTAAGACACACAGGCCTATGCTACGGATGACCTGCCCAGCAGTCCTTAACTCCTTACACCTGTGGGACCAAACAAAACACAAATACGCACTGAGTAGCGACCCTTCGCCTCTGACGCCGGTCCTCCGAAATAGAGAGCCAGAGATTTTAAGGGACTAGAGGCCATGGGGTTACAAAGATACATGCATTTATACGTCAACAACGCAATTGTGACATTGTGACATACGACCATCTAATTACTAAAGCCCCACTCCAGACAATGAATTACTATAGATACTTACAGATTAGAGACTTTGCACGCTCTGAAAAAGGTCCCCACTGCAGCCCAAAAAAAGCTCACTTTTTCGGAACAGTTGTTCTAAGGAGAAACTACCTAGACCAAGCTAATCACTCTACTATACGGGCACATTAGCTATGAGGCAGGAGAGTGGGGGGCACTTCGGTACACCGACCTGTGGGAGGCAGATCTGGGAGAGATCCTGGAGGGAACAGAGTGGCAGGACATATGGTAGGCGTGCACCAGGGTATCAGTGTGTGTCACGCCCAAAGAGCAAAACTATAAAATGCTTCTCAGATGGTACACAACACCAGTTAAGCAGTGTCACATGAACCTAAGCTCCACAGATACGTGCTGGCGCATGTGTGGGGAAAAGGGTAGCTATGTCCACATGTGGTGGCAGTGACCAATAGTGCAGGGATTCTGGGGAAAGGTAGTGGACCTCAGTTCTCAGGTCCTCCAGCGGAGACTGGAGCTAGACCCATGGGGATGCCTATTGTCCCAACCCACAGAAGACCTTACCAAACATGAGCAAAAGTTATTGAATATGCTATACTTAGCGGCATGACGGGCTCTAACACAACAATGGGCTAACCCAGAACCACCACACATATCTAAAGTGTTATTAAAAAAGAGACAACTACCTAATGGATAAGCTCACGGCAAGGGTTCGCAACACTAGCGCTACCTTTAATAAAGTATGGGCACTGTGGGAACAGTACGACAAGTGACCCTCTTACAACAGGGCTATCACAAGACGCTACATGCCCCCAGGAGCCCGTACGAGTCCGGTCTCCTGGGCGCACTCCGTGGCATGTCACCTCCGAATCCATAGAGCCAGGGAGGGAAGTTTTATTGGTAAGTTATATTATTTTCATTATGTTATTATTTTTCTGTATGCCTTTCTTTTTTGAAAAACGCCGGCAGATTGTAAACATGCATAAGAATATTTGCTGTACTGTGCGCATTTAACCCATCTTCCTATACTTCAAAGACACACTGTAGATCACAATTTATATGGAACTGGGCTTCTGCGTAAGCCACTTTATGATGTGCAATTATCGCTCTCTGTCGGAGCAAAAATAAAGAATTTAAAAATAAAAAAAAAGTTTCGTATTGTTACTAGTATTACCTTGCTGAGAATCAAACCAAGGACTCTGATACAATGCAGGTGCGACTCTCCAGTTTTAGAGGCTGCTTCCATACTTAATGGGTTTATGACTTGGTTTAAAGTTACCCTAGGTAAATACAACATTGTAAGTTGTAAAAATATTAAACAAACGGTTTGCTGTAGTCGAACAGAATAGCTATTGACGATGGAGAACAAAAACTAAGAAAAGTATTTGTAGAGCTTAGTCATTGTCGTTTCACTAAGTATCTGTAAGTATCGCAAAACATCTACAGCTTTGCTAATATATATCTATTAATATGTTTCTTTCATGTAGGGCTCGAGTGGTGATATTGGCCCTCCTGGACATGTAGGAATCAAGGTAAAACTAATTTGACATTTCATGTGGGTTTTTGATAATGGTAGTGATTCTATATCATCTTTTCTGCTAAACATTAGACTTGGAAATTTGTTGTGTTTTGAACTGCAATTTGTCCAAATTTGGGCCAATTGGTGATCATACAAATTCCCGAACTCCTAGCAGAAACGTACCAAAATTACAAACCAAACAAATTGCATAATGGCCGAGGATGTTCAGTTTGATTCATGATTCAAAATCTGCTGTGGCGTGAAAAAAAAAGAGACGTTTGATGGGAAAAATGATGATTGATGGCTAGGGGACCACCACTTTATGTTGATTTATTTATTGTCAAGCGACAATAAAGAGAAAAACGTAGGAATAGTAAAAGTAAAAACTGTAACAGTATAGATTTTTTTTTATTTTCTTTGTTCCCTCTATTGGTTACTTTTTCTCACTTGATCTGTGAACCAAATGGTGGGAAAATGTATAATTGTACTCCAATATATATATTTAATATTATATCTATATTTTACAGCACACAAATTGGTCCAATTCTGCGCCCTTTTGGTTCATCTGATTTGTTTTCCCCATATTTTTTTTTGTTAAAGAAATTTCTATGAGTTGATTCACCATATGGACAAAATTCACCAGTCCTGAATTAGTTTTTATATTACACAAATCTACTAAATAAAAGGCTTCTGTAAAATGTTATAACACTGAGGATATCATCCTTTAAATGGCCAAACCCTGCACAGATATATTTATTTTTAACATCTTGATTATGTTAGGTGTATATACTTTATACTGTAGCATGCATGACTTTCAAAAGTATCCCAAAGAAATTAAAGTGTTTGTGATATTCATTATGATGATAATGCTAGGAATTGACTCTTGTTATAATGTTTTGATCTAATACAGGGAACTATACTATTTATAAGGTTCTCTTAGACCTTTTTAATCATTGTCTCAGTTCAGAAATATACCCTTTAAGAATTTACAAATTCTTATTGGTGGAATTTAATAACACTAAACTTCATTGTTTTTTTATATTCTGGAATAAGGTAGTCTGTGTTATGAGTAACTGATACATTAATTAATTTAACATTTAGTAGCCAGAGCAACTGGGAAAAAGTTTAAATAAAATGGCAAAGTTACCATATTTGCACATCTTTTTTTTTTTTTTTTCCTGTGAATTTTGGTGAGTCTGAATATGATATTATTTACTCACACCTATTAAAATAGAAACACCTTATACTGTGATGCTGCAGGTTGCTAGCAATTAATATAATTATGCACAGTGTACGCAAGTCATACTGAGTGAAGGAATCGCGAGACGCAGTTTTGAATCCATTTCTATACGGTGCATGCCTTCCAACTGTCCACTTTTGGTAGGACAGTCACAACCTAAGGATTCTGTCTAGGCATCCTAATTTTGCTTCTTGTTTCCTGCACCTGGGGACACTAGAGAACAATCCCAGTGGCATAGCGTGAGCGCGTCATTAGACATGTTAAAGAAAGTTGTAGAAAATGTACCTGTAATCCATTGCATTTTATATATTCTTCACTGCACGGTGAGATCATTGATCCTAAAATCTTTGATCAAATCCAATGCTTCTTATTGAGAAGCATTGTGAACCTACAGCTCATCAGAGTGATGTGCCAATTCAATATTTCTCATTTAGGAGCATTAATTCCAATACTTCTATATAAGAAGCATTAGTCACGTGCGTTATCATGCTGTGCATGTTGATCAGGGCCACTATCAAGGTATGAATACCTGCAATTTGTACAGGGGCCTGTACCAGTTTGAAGTCTTTTCACACTATGCAGTCCAGTTGAGGAGACAACTGTGTCTGGGACTTCTTAAGGGACTTCAAGACTAGGGGAGAGTCTGATGGTTGTAGGCAGGCTGTTCCAAAGGAAAGGAACCATATGCAAGAAGTCTTGTAAGTGTGGATTAGCAGTAAGGCTGTGAGCAGCTGACAGGAGAAGGTCACCGCACAATAGAGAGACCTGGAATGGGCATACCAACTAATTAGTGAAGAAATATAACAGGGGCTAGAGTTGTTTATAACTTTATAGGTAAGGATTAGTATTTTGAATTGACACCTATAGGATACAGGAAGCCAATGTAAAGATTGACATGGGGGCAAGGTGTGAGAGGAGCGACAGGAGAGAAAGATCAGTCTGGTGGCAGCATTTATTACAGACTGTAGCAATACAGTACGGTTTCTGGGGAGACTAACTAGGAGATAATTACAGTAACCAATGTGAGAAATTACCAGAGCTCCTTGGCAGCATCTTGCGTATGCAGGGGAGGACGCAGGAAATGTTTTTAAGGTTGAGCAACAGACTGGAATTGAGGTGCAAAGCTGAGGCCATATTTAAAGATAATACCAAGACAGCAAGCTTGCAATGATGGGCTGATGGAGGTATCATTAACTTGCAGGGAGAGCTAAAGAGGAGGAAAAATATGAAGCTCAATTTTAGAGAGATTGAGTTTCGGAAAGCGGGAGGACATCCGATCAGAGACAGAAGAGAGTCAGCTAGTGACACAATGTAGGACAGCGGGGGTGAGATCAGGGGAGGAGAGATATATCTGGGTGTCATCGGCATACCGTTGGTAGCAGAATCCAAGTGAATTAATACTTTTGCAAAGAGAGGCAGTATAAAGATAAAACAAAAGGGCACCGAGAACAACCTTAAAGGACTCCAAACGAGACAGGATGACGGGAGGAGGTGTCATTAGAAAAGGAGACACTCGTTACTTCACGGTTTGTACACGTTTTATTTACTATAAAAGACCAAGCGATAAGTAAAGATGTGAATCACTAACTGGGAAAAATCAGGCAAAACATACTCCACGATTGCATATTGTATAATGTATACAAATTTAATTGTGCATTCATGATGATGATGATGTAAAAAGTTAGAAAGCACAGAGTAGATGCCTATATCTACATGTCTTTATGTAACTGTATATGCTATGTACTGAATGTCCTGTCTTGGAATAAATAAAGAATTTAAAAAAAAAAGAAAAGAAAAGGAGACACTAAATGAACTTTGGGGGAGATAGAAGGAGATCTATGAGAGGACAGTATCACAGAGACCGAGGTATTGAAGAGTTTGGAGAAAGAGCACGATCAACAGTGTTAAAGACAGCAGAGAGGGCAAGAACAAATTATAAGTAGTAGTGGCCTTTGGATCTAGCCACAATTGTAATTTTAATCAGAGTGGTCTTAGTAGAGTGGAGGGGGTGGAAGCCAGATTGAAGAGGGTCAATGAGAGAATTGGAATTAAGAAAGCAAACCAAAGGGGTAAACACAAGTCTTTCTAGAAGCTTTGAGGAAAAAGGAAGCAGGGATATGTGAGGATAGTTGGAAGAGAAAGACAAGTACAACAGTAGCATATTTAAGGGGAGCAGGCACAATGCCAGAGGTATGAGAGCAATTGAAGATATGCACTAAGGATAGCACAAAACCAGGGGAGAGAGATCTGATAAGGTGAGATAAGACAGGATCAAACAGACAAGTGGTGGGATAAGAGGAAAGGAGAAGCAAAGCCACTTTCTGTGCATTAACTGTGGAGAAGTCCGGAAGGGTAGGTAAGGTGTGGTCCAAGTGTGATCGAGAGAGAATGGAGTGAAGGAGGGATAATTATTTCCTTAACTGTTTAATATTGTCAGTAAGGTAGCATGCAAAGCTATCGGCTAAAAATATTAGTTTGTGAGGTCTCTTACATAATATCTATTTCTTTTTTTATTATACAGGGTTACAGAGGCCCTGCTGGCACAAAGGTATGTATTACGGAAATATTATAATATAATAATAATAAAAATAACCAGAATATACATACATAATAAGACAGTGCAACTTAGAACATATAAAACATTTATGCTGTATTAGGGACACATGGTAATTGGTAAGTGCATGCATGCAACACATGTTTTTAGACAAATGAAAGGATACTCACATGTTCCCTGTATATGACCTCTATAGTTCTCCTAAAAATGAATGGTCTACTGCTTATCACAATTTAGTCTACAAATGGTAGAAACAAACTGGAGAGGGAAATTTTAAAAATCCATCAAAATTACTTATATATAACATTCAACTTTTTAAGCACTTTGTTTTAAAAAATAAGTGAAGCATTAATTTGAAACATAGCTACATAGTTACCTCTTATTGTATACACTAGGTCAGGGATAGGCAACCTTCGGCACTCCAGATGTTGTGGAGTACATCCCCCATAATGCTTTTACACCCATAAGGCTGGCAAAGCATCATGGGAGGTGTACTCCAAAACATCTGGAGTTCCGAAGGTTGCCTGTGCCTGCACTAGGTGTTATTGCACCATATTGCCCACTTCTATCTGTAAAAGGGATCCAATCTAATATCCTTATCTGGGTTACGGCTGGTTTTCTATCTAATAAAATAGACCAAAACAGTGTTGTTCGGATGCTGATACGATCTTCTCGTAATTCCTCCCTTCAGTCCCTCTCACCCCCTGACATACAAACCTGCTTTAATAAACTAACAAAAACATTTAAGAAGCAAATTAAAACAAGCTGGGAACTTTTCACTTTGGACACATAGCTCAATAAACATCATTTCAAGAGGTCTAAGGGTATTAGTCCCCCCCCTCTAGGAATATTGAGATTGAAGGGTTTAGGAAAGAATGGGAGGAAGCAGCAGCTAAATGTTCCTCAACCTTAATGACTATAATCTGTAAGTACAAAACACAACAACTCGCAGATATCCAAAGAGAACTAGACACTGAAATTGAGACAATTCAAACATTTAAAGAGGATCCTCAATTTTAGAGTCTCAAATTCTAGAATAATCTGGATAGGTTCTCTCACCAAATAAAGGTTAAGAAGCACAATACATTTATAAGAGACACAACTGACTTTGAAACCGCTCAAGTCTATCGTTAAACCAAAAGAAAAGTTAGGATAGACTCTGATCATTTCAGTACTTCCGAGTATGAGTCTACTGATAATGAAGGTGAGACCTCTAACACTGTAAATAACTCGCACAACCCCTAAGAGTATTCTATGTAAGGGGGTAGATTTTTTAAGGTTTAGACAGGCTGAAGAACTCCAGTGCCCGAGGACAAGACAGTCCCAGAGAAGCAGGGGTCAACGGAGGTACTGTCGCTAAAGAATAGTGACCTAAAAGTAATTAATCTGTTTTCAGTGAACCTTTCAGACATTCAGACTCTTACCAAAGGCCTTTCTTTCATCTCAAGACTCCCATTTAATAAATTAACCTGGACCAAAGACCTACATCTGTTCGCCCGTAAGTTAGCCCTTCACAAATATCACACTCATAAAAGGAACAGAAGGCCCAAAGCATGGGTCTAACAATAAAATCTAGGTCTAGACTACCTTGATACTTTGGTTGACCTCCTTGATTTTAGTGATGGGACTAGACCAAGCAATATTCCCAATACTAATCTTGCCCCAAAAAGCAAATTCACACCACCCTTTCAAAACTACAAAAATATTGAAATCTTCTTAGAAATGGTGTGCAGAGACATTGAAAAAACTGAGTTAAACATTTTGGATTTTAAACCCAGTTACAATCTCTCTAGAGCAAAAACAGTGGCACTAAATTCTAAAACCATCCGATGAGGGCAGCAATAGCGTGCTTATGAATCACTCGAAATATGTACAGATGGTATATAGATTATTAAATGACAGGGACACGTACCAAATCCTGATTCAGGATCACACCCCCCAGTATTTCAATGAGATCAAATCTATTCTAATGGAAGCCATGGAAAATAAGTTCATCACTAAGAATGAATTTGACTTCATGTTGATAAAACAGCCTGTAATTTACACATCCTATAGTCTTCTAAAAGTACACAAATCATTGGTTGATCTATCTGGAATGCCTGTAGTGTCAGGGTGTGGTAATCTTAGACAAAACATGAGTATCTTTTTGGATAAAATAATGTCCCCCATTGTCTATAAACTACCCTCATATGTTAGGGACACAAAACAAATGATGAACTTCCTGAAGGATGCCCAAGTGCTGGAACAGGCCTCACTATGTAGTCTTGACGTTGAGTCACTGTTTAATTCTATACCCCATACATTAGGGATATACAACATTAGAACTACTCTAGCAAAAGAACTCAACACTCCAGCACCCTATCTTGGAGCTCCTTAGACTAGTCCTCACAAAGAATATCTTCAACGGCACTATATATCATCAAATTAGAGGGACTGCCATGGGGACATCTTGTGCTCCTTCCTATGCAAACCTATATTTAGGTGCATGGGAGGAGCACATCATGGCAGATCCCAAATTAAAAACTTTTTTTGAATTGATTTATTGCTGGAAAAGATATATAGATGATGTCTTTGTTCTTTGGCTTGGATCTAGTACAGTCTTATAGGATCTAATTAAAACTCTCAATGTGAATGACTATAATTTGAAATTCACAAGTGAGTTTGGTGATAAACAGCTGAATTTTCTGGATCTGACAATCTCCATACAACGTGGGGCAAGATCACAACCACGTTGTATCGAAAGAAGACCACCACTAATGGTCTACTAAATTGGTCTAGTTATCACCCCCAGCCATTAAAAGCAGGCATACCTGTAGGCCAATACTTGAGGCTATGCAGGAATTTCTCCACCCTGGAAGACTTTAAAATCAAAGCCTGGAACCTTTGGACATCCTTTAAAGAGAAGTGGTACCCGAATAGAGTCCTGAGGAGAGCCTACTTTAGAGCAATCAGCAGCGACAGAGATTCCCTACTTACAGACAATAATCAAACCCCTGACTCCAATCTAATCTGCTGTATAACCACATATGATGCTGGTTGGCAACATATGATGAATATCTTCAGACGCCATTGGCCAATCTTGACATCTGATCCTCACATCAAAGTGATTACTCCATTTCCCTCTGTGACTGCACGCAGGGGAAAAAATCTAAGAGATACGTTAGTACAGAGCCATCTTGCCCCTCTGAGCATATCTCACAAACAATATCTACCCAAGGGCACTTACAAATGTGGTCAATGTGGTGCCTGCACATATATTAAGAGGGACTCCAAACTCTTCTCAGATAGCAACAATGTGGAAACCTTTTCAGTACGTTCCTTTTTCAACTGCAGAACTGAGGGGATTATTTACTCATTTATTCATGCAGTAAAAAATACATTGGGAAAACCTTTCGTCAGTTCCAACTTAGAATCAGGGAATAATATGTCAACTCTGTAAGAAAACCCCTCGGAACTCCTATGTCACGTCATCTGAAGATATATCACGCTAACTCCCCAAGTAGAATTAGATTCATGGGTATCAAATTCATCTCACAAACCCAACAAAGGAGTGACTGGTATCAAAAGCTGAGACAGACAGAATCCTACTGGATTTATAAATTAAAAAATCTTTTCTCCATAAGGTTTAAATGGAGGATTCTCCTTTTTAGCTTTTTTATAGCTTCCATGTACAGATTTTGGAGAGATTATACCCTATGTTCACGTAATAGCTTTATAGGACATTCTGAATCATTGCGGTATATGTAAATAGTTGTATATATTAAGTTCACTTGTATTGGTTTATTTTCTAATAGGCTAACTTACCTCGGGAAACTCCTTATCTCTTAGGCTTTTCTAGACCAAGAGATACCCAAGCGGTACAGCTGTTATATCTAGGGATTCCTATATGAGTTTATTATATACATAACATGCCCACTGTCACCTTCGTGTATGTATATCAGACGTGGGGACTTTCACTAGAGTCTAGTGACATAGACTTAATGAAGCACAATGAAGAGTCATTCACAAAATATTGGTGTTGGTATTACATCTGAGGACCCTGAGCAATCTACTAAATAGACTCACATGCCTACTTTCACCTTTGTATTTATTAACTGTGATGTTATCAAGAGCTTATTAAGATAGACATAATAAAGTACCAAGAGCCACTCACACAATAAATTGTATTGTTATAATCTGGGGATTCCCATAAGTGATTATCAGCATAGACCTAATGAAACACAACGGAGAGCCTTTCCTCACTATCATCTTTAATATGCCCATCATTATATCTATCAGATGCGTTGATATTAAGCCGCTTAAATTCTCAAGTCTTATCCATAGATGGACTTCACTAATAATGTGTATTTGTGGCACACTGGAGATATGCGGTATATATCCCCATTCCCAGTTGATGCTCACATATTAATGTCCTGAGGTATAGCTAATTCCACCATCATGGACCATAATAAACCGTCCGTCACCATTTTTAAATATAATTATATCGATATCTGGCAAGGCACTTTTCATTGCCTCTCAAACTACACACGGAGGCGAAACTAGAGTGGGAGTGACTACTCTAACCCCACGAACATCTGTTCATTTCGGGGGAATGTCTGTCCGACACACCCACGTACACACTAATTGATCCCTTGTCCTCACATATGATAATATGAGTGACAGTGGGCGTGTTTGTTTTCACTCAACGGAACTCACTGCACAATCCTTGAGTACCAGACGAGGCCTCTGGTTTTCGTCACGCCCATGTGGAGGTGGAATACTACTGCCCCATGTGAGTGTATGACGTTACTGCCTCATTGTCAAACCGAGACCTTGCCACTGACACTCTATTTTGGCAGTGTGATGAACCACTGAGATACTTAGCCGGGTAGCCCACATGACAAAGAAGTGCAAATGACACCCTTTCTGGCTACATTGTAATTTTACAAATACTGCAGGTTGAATATTAACCCTAAAAGATAGAATTAGGTACAATATTAGAAATTCTAATTTAGCAGATAATCCACTTTTTTATTTTTTATTTTGATAATAAGACCAAATCTATGTATAATTATGCATCTCATAAATTAGAGAGCTGACTCTTATACAGTTGAGATATATAGATGATTCACTATATCACCAGAAATTTTCATTTAGGTGATAATTAATTTTCCATCTGATAGAAAACTTTGTATTTTATAGCTGATATATGATCATTATAGCAAACAATTGTACACTGCAGGTTGAATACTGACCCCAAAGATGCAATGGGGTATAATATTAGAAATTTTGATTTAGTGGATTATATACCCCCACCCCCCTTTTTTTAAATTCATTTTTTTAATTTGGATAAATCTAATCTATGTATAATCATGCACCTTAAAGGACCACTCTAGGCACCCAGACCACTTCAGCTTAATGAAGTGGTCTGGGTGCCAGGTCCTTCTAGGGTTAACCCATTTTTTCATAATTATAGCAGTTTCAGAGAAACTGCTATAATTATGAATGGGTTAAGCCTTCCCCCTAATCCTCTAGTGGCTGTCTCATTGACGGCCACTAGAGGCGCTTGCGTGCTTCTCACTGTGAAAATCACAGTGAGAGCACGCAAGCGTCCATAGGAAAGCATTGTAAATGCTTTCCTATGAGACCGGCTGAATGCGCGCGCAGCTCTTGCCGCGCGTGCGCATTCAGCCGGCGGGGCGTAACGGAGGAGGAGAGGAGGCAGAGAGCTCTCCGCCCAGCGCTGGAAAAAGGTAAGTTTTTACCCTTTTCCCCCTTCCAGAGCCGGGCGGGAGGGGGACCCTGAGGGTGGGGGCACCCTCAGGGCACTATAGTGCCAGGAAAACGAGTATGTTTTCCTGGCACTATAGTGGTCCTTTAAAAACTAGATAGCAGATTTATGTAACTGAGATATCTACATGGTTTATTGTACCATCAGTAAGTAAAGTTGATTTAGGTGATAATCCATCTTTTCAATCTAATAGAAATCTAAGCATCGCTCTCCTTGTGATGATATCCAATCATAACAGGGGGGCGGTTATTAACATACGGCTGAATCCCTTCCCCTCTATCTTGATTGTCAATACAATTCACCAATAAATAGAGATTGGAAGGGAAAATACACACACACCCCTATCAGCTGCAGTCTGTTTCACAATAATTGACAAGGGTATATATACAAGTAAGTTAGGCAGATCAGAGGCACTGCTCCTGACGACGATGTGCTGACATGCTGAAATGCGCGTCGAGCTCTCTCTTTCTTTGTTTTCACTTCACATGGTAGCACTTTAATTTAGTATGCACTAGTTTATTTTTATTTAGTTTTAGGCAGGGAGACTGGTTCAGGTAGGCATTGGTGGTTAGTCCATGGTGCTGAGGTAACACAGGGATAGATTCTTCTCAGTAGCCAGTTTTGGTTTATGGTTATTAAGGCTCAGTTCCTCCATCTTCCTCTCTGTGATTTTTACCTTTAGCTATACCTGCCGCGAGTATACACGCTGGGAGTGTGTGGAGCTAGGGGTTCCGACATTATTTGGATTTTTAGACACATTGTGTGTTTGTCTAGTTGGACCTCAGCTCGTTTGTACATATACCTTACCAGCTGTATAAGTGTAATTCTCCCTCTACACTAATTTTTTACCTGCTAGTCTTTCATCCTTAGAAATATTAAAGGTAGGGCATCCTCTCCTTTTCATTGTTACTCTCTCCTTAGGCCTTCACTGGTCCAATATTTTTTTTCCCCTTCCATAGCTAGCATGTAAATGTGTAGTGAAATAAGATAGCGCTTTTGTATGAGGATCACTGATCAGAGAAATATAACAATGTAAATGATTTTAATGTACACAATTTTAATTGTTGACTTATCTGTTCATGCTTTACATAAAATTCAGAGAGATAAAAATTTTAAAGATTATTATATTGCTGAATAATCTTTCCAAATGATTTCATATTTATGAATAAACTTTTTAAATGATTTAGTATTATTAAAAATATTTTTTTATATATTGATATATTTGTTTATACATGATCTATTTTTTGTTTTAATATCCTGAAAAAAAAAACATTTTAAAAGTGTATCCATAAAATCATTTGGAAAGCTTATGCAAAAATATTAAATCAAGGAGCATGTCTGAAATATTAGCACATAAGCGTACATTTAATTTTTGTCACATACATTAGGTGTGGCAGAAATTGATTTAAAAAAATGAGTACCATACCTAAGTTGCAGTTGCCTCTTGCTCTGCGCATCCCTAATTTCCTAATTTATTTCTTTATTAAAACCTCTTGCCTTTAACAAATTCACAAGATGTACTTCCACTCCTTCTCCTGTTTTGGTTGAGGGTCATGAGGAATATGTGGTTGTCTATTCGTGACTCTCTTGTTTCTAGGGGTACTAAACAATACCTGGTCCACTGGAAAGGTTATGGTCCCGAGGAGAGATCTTGGGTTGCGGTTAATGACATACATGCTCCTCGATTGCGCAGGGATTTCCATTTGCATTTTCAGGATCGCCCTGGTAGTTCCCACCCTGTGGGCAGTTCTAGATTGGTGGTAATGTAAGGGCTCCTATACTCTACCAATCAGCTGTTGCTTCTGAGTATCCTGCGCGATCTGACTGCTTCCTGGACGCTAGATGCTGTGTGCATGCCCCTATTTATGACGCACCGTACACGAGCCAGCATCATGACATTAGTCACTAGAAACCAATGCACTCTAACGTTTTGGGGGCGTGGTTACACAAGCCAGGCCATCAATCATATAAAAGCTCATTATGCACAGTACACAGTGCCCTGTTTTGGTTCCTAAGCTTTTAGTATCCCAAGAGTGCGTTATTATACTGTGTTGTGTAAATATGGTATTTGAACCGGCTTTTCTCTGACTATTCTGTTCTCGTTCCCTTGACCTGGTTTTGGCTATCGGTCTTGTGATTTGGATTCTATTTCACATTGGCGTGTTCTGTTGTTCCTTTATTAGATTTTATTTGGTGTGAAGAGTTAGATCAGGGGGACTGCCGCGAAGCAGTAAGCATTGGGGGAGGGCTGTTTAGAATAGCACTGGTTTGACTTTTATATTTACTCGTTCCATTCAGTGTGGGTACATCTCGCATACTAGAGACTACTTATTATTTTTTCATTACTGCAGTTATGGCTTATGACCACTCATTTTTCTAATAAACACCACATACTGGTAGTGGGCTGAATAGCAGATTTGCACGGAATTCACATGCCAACATTACAGACAAACACACCTTTGCATTCATACACTAACACTAAATAAAGAACCTTGCATTCAAACACCAACAATTAACAGACCCTGAGTTATCTAGTTACGCCCATGCACCGCGTAATACTTCTAATATTTTGGCCATAAAAGGAAACAGTCTCTTTTGTTTCAGGCTCCTCACGTTCTCTCCCTAAGTGCTACCATTTAGGTGGAAGCACGGTTTAGCTGTTTAGATCACTCTGCTTTGCCCAACAACTTGTTAACATCATTGCTGTGACATAAAGCATCATCACCATGCATGCCCAGACATAGTGACTGATGTCACTGCACTGCATACATGCTGCAGAGTGATCATTGGTCAGGTCAGCACTACTCCCAACTAAGGACCAATTAAAAATGGCAGCTCTCATGGAGGGAAAACATTGAGTCTGGACCTGGAGTGACAGTTTACTTTTAAATAACTTGATCTTGTGTCCAATTTAAGATCTTCAAATAATGTTCACATACTGTATATTTATTTTATAAAATTCTGAGCCTTCATGCAAGTCATTAAGGCTTAATGGAACACTCAATTTTTAGCAAACCATCCCTTTGAAGTCTTTGTACACAAACCTCCGTATAATCTTTTAGGTCATCTAATCTACATCAATTTATTATTACTAATATGGTTATTATTTTACATTCACTGAAGTCTATTCCTAATTTGGCAGTCACTTATCAGCTATACATGTTTATTTCAAAAGAAAGCAAAACTCATCATTAAGCTTTTTGTTTATTTAGATTTGCTTTGTAATTTATCCTAAGATAAAATGTACTCTTGTCAAACTTGGCATGTCCTAAACTATGTTCTCCCATTTCTTTTTTATGTCAATCGATTGGTCTTTTTAATCTCTCAACTAATTCAAAGAAAAACTTGCAATCATTTCTATTAAATGATTTTATTGGGAAATTGTTGCAAGCATAACAAGTTATTCTTAAAATATAATATTTCCTAATAGCTCTCTAGGTGTAGGAGGTTTCGAAAAATAATGGAATCCTTTATTCAGAATTTACAAGATTAATGTGAAATGAATGTTACCAAATAATCTATCCCGTGCTGTTACACTTTTATATGTATCCCACAAAAACAATCCACCTTAGGGGTGATTTCATGTTAATCAGATTCTAATTCAGTAACTGAAATTGGTGCTGAAAAGAGAAAAGCACTATAATATTTTTTTGTAATTTAATTTAATAAACATATCTTTGTACTCATCGAGTTTAATTTCCAAAACAAGCAAATATCATGCAGTAACATCTGTTTATAAACTAGTTAATTCATCTTGTAGAAAGGACCACACCATACATGCCAAAGGTGACCAAAACATATTCTCAATTTATTGTCCCCTTGGTCATTGCTAATTTAGCCCAAATTTGTATTGCTATGCTGCATTTTATTTTATTTTATTTTATTTTAATCATAAAGTTTTTTTGTTTGTTTTTTTTTAAGAATTGGAAATAACTGAATTCTGGATATAATGTCTGTATTACATAGGAACCGACATGCAGAACTTACCTACTTGCCTTAAAGATGGAAAGTAAAATGCAGCATGGTTATACTATTACCAGTCCTAAGAATGGCCAAGTTTAACGCAGTGTCTTGGCCTGGGAACAAGCCTAGAGTAGTCAAGAATGAACTGGGTTCTAGGATAAAGGAAGGGCTGCAAAATAAGATAAAAATACAAGATCTAAATACCAAGAAAACACAAGAACTGTATAATGCACTCTCAGGTATGCTGGAACCATGAAAGGACAATGCGTTGCATTAACAATCTGGTTATATGTACAGCGCTAAATAAATAATATAATATTAATAATAATATTTACATGACTAAAAGCCTGTTCTCTGTTTATCATAATTGTTACGCATAATATTGCTTGGATAATACATTAGGACATCTCTTTCCAATGAAACACAACCAGGGGGGCATAAGAGGATACTAATGAAGGGGCAATGACGCACAGCTTCGCAACAAGTATGCAATTCAGTGCCAGGTAGCACAACACATGCATACTGAATTCCTTGCATTAATATTTACTAAAGTAAGATTATAAGGTAAATTCAAATATAAGGTCAAAATAGCAGAACTGGAAAGTCAGCTAAGCTTTCCATTCAGCTACTTTGGCCTTAAACTTGAAATTCGCTCTGAATTTACCTTGAATTCACACTATAGTGAATAACCCTGTTAGTTTTTGTTATTTAAATAGACACTATAGTGACGAGAACAACTACAGTTTATTGTATTTGTTCTGGTAAGTAGAACCATTCCCTTAGGCATTTTGCAGTAAACCCTGTCTTTTCAGAGAAAATGCAGTGTTTACATTACAGCCTAGAGATACCTTCACTGGCCACTCCCCTGATGGCTGCAAGAGGTGTTTCCTGGGACAGTGCTGCACAGTGTGACACTGAACTTTCCTTATAGAGATGCATTTATTCAATGCATCTCAAAGAGGAGAGGCTGATTGGCCAGGGAAGTGTTTGGCTTGTGCTGGCTCTGCCTTTGATCTGACTCTTGACAGCTCAGCCAATCCAATGCTTTTCTATGGGAAAGCATTGTGATTGGCTGTGATCACCATTTCTGATAATGTCAGCCAAGAAGGCATATCAGGGACAGAGGCAGCAGCATCAGACTGGAATCAAGGTACAATGTTACTATTTTTAGGGGCGGGTGGGAGTGGGGCTGGGGAGCTGGATGGTGGTTTGAACACTATATGGTCAGGAACACGTTTGTGTTCTTGATCTTATAATGATCATTTAAGTCTGCAGTAATGGGCCATACAAAATACATACTGTTTGATATTATGCTGGGTGTTCTGGATGCCTGTTTGGACTAGGCTAGTGTTATATTTCCTCTATCATTAATTCACACTAGACAGACATTTCAATGAAAACATTTCATGCTACTAATGCAAGTTGTTCTTTTTGCCAAAACTCTCAAATGGGAATTTTTTATTTTTTTTTCAGGTTTGCTTTTAAAATATATTCCTTATTTTGTAATTCAGTAAAACGTATTTTGAATATCCCACGCATTAAGCAAGGAGAGGAAGTTCAAGGGTAACAAACAGCACATGCTGTATTGTGTTCAGTTATACCATATCACATATCACAGAATTCACTATCCATATTGCTCCTAATGCAACTACAAAATACGATTTTTCTATTAAATAACAATTTTGTGTATTTTACAGGGATCAAAAGGACAAAAAGGACCCAAGGTTTGTTTTTTTTGTATTTCTTTGTCTAGTTAATAATTTTTTTTATGATTTCTTATGTATGATGTTAAATTGTATCTTTTTGTTCACAGGGCATCAATGGTAAAAATGGTTTTGATGGAAACGAGGGAACAAAGGTAAGATATGCAATAGACCCAGGGTAGCAAGATAGAGAGATAACAGGTGGCAGACATAGGATGGGGAGGCTGGTTGGCAAAGGGAAACTATATGTCTGGTGCAAAGGGGGGAGGTAGGATGGTAGAGGGTATCTGGATAGTGAGTCAGCACAGACATAGCAGAGTGGTAGGATGGTAGGAGATTGTTAGATATCATTACGGCTGATTAGCACAGAAAAGCTTCGGGGAGATTTAAAGAGACCCATCATCTTTTGTTTAATGCATTAATAAAATAATACATTCAAAATTAAAAGCAATAAAAACAATAGTCAACACCAGTGAGCTATCCCATCCAATCCTGTTCTCCATTGCTTTTGGCACATCTTAAAGGGATACTATAAGCACCATAACCACTGAAGCAAGCTGCACTGGTTATGGTCCCAGGAGTACTCTTGTGCTATCCCCTGGAAAGATGTCAAGCTGTTAATCAATTATTGGATACTTGGAGTATAAGATTGAGCCCCTTAACACCTTAATTAAAATTAAGTTGTTATGGTGCCAGCAGGTCCCTTGTGCTGGTTCACCTTTAGGGGCTCTGTGCTCCAATTGCACTGCCCCCATGTTCTTCCACTATATGAAATCTTAGATAACTCTTAGACAGAAGGGTCAGTCATGGGTGCCGCTGACTGGCTTAGTGTGATTAGCTGACCCTGTAAGCCAGTCAGTAGCTCCCTTTCATTAAACAAAAAAAAAAAAGGTAGGAACCAGCAGCAGGGACCTCCTGGCACCATAACAATTTCATTTACTTTACCTTGTTATAGTGCTTGGAGTGTTTCTTTAATTGATTTTGTAGGGTTCCTGTGGGTCATGGTTTAGTACTATACTAAGTTCATATAGCAGGTCTGCTGCTTTTGCAAGCTCTTTTTGTATACACCCTCAAAGAAAACTTTCAGACAAAAATAAATGTATGTTTTATGTACTAAATTATTTTAATTTAAATGGCATGTTCCTTTAAAAAATCATGACTTAAAGGAACACTATAGGGTCAGGAACACAAACATATATTCCTGACCCTCAAGTGTTACAGTTAGGTGGCTTGCCCCCCTCAAAACCCTTGAAAGGTAATAAAACTCACCGTATTGCCAGCACTGGCCCCACCCTTAATCCGCCTCCTTGGCTGACAGAATTGATGATTTCAGCCAATCCAATGCTTTCACATAGGGGAAGCATTGGATTGGCTGAGCTTGGCAAGGAGGTAGGATTGAATGCATCTCTATGAGGACATTTCAGCATCTCCATGCAGAGCATGGAGATACTGAATGGCAGTGCTGCACACTGTGCAGCACTGCCCTAGGAAGCACCACCGGTGGCAATATAAGGGGTAACTACTAGAGGTGTCCCTAGTGGGCAATGTATTTCTCTGAAAAGGCGGTGTTTACATGTCTGCAGGGACTGATTGTACTCACCAGAACACTACATTAAGCTGTAGTTGTTCTGGTGACCATAGTGTCCCTTTAAACGGAGTCTTACTGATTAGTAATTTAAATCATGCTTTAAATTGACTTAGCTTAAATCAAATCCACCCTGTCTAATTGCCTATTTTTATTTGATTCAATTACTGGTAAATACATTTTAAAAAAATAGGGTCTTCAAATGTCTTTCCAAACCGCCAATTGCATACCTCTCAAGCCTCCCTAGTTAGAAGGAGTAGTCCTTATATGTGGTCTATACCATTCCCTCCATCTTATATATCCCAGTGTTCCTCTTTGTAGGAAATCATTTTTCTTGGCATGTCTGAATTTATACCAGAGGCCCAGGGCAATAAAAAGCGTATTTAGAAATCAGTCTTTGTAAATAATGTGCATTGTTCTTGTTCTAAATTACATTGTTTTTGCATAAGTTATTATTAGTAAGTCAACTAAATTTTCTCAGAACAGCCCTGCCCCTGGCCAAACTCCTACTCACACCCCTAGAAATGTAAATGTCCCACCTTGTCCGTTTGTAATGTGAGGAGTTATGCCATTCTATATGCTAAATGGCAGAATGTGTATTTCAAATATTAGTGAACTGTTTAACCCCAACTACCAGTTGTAATGTCATAAATAATTGATAGTATAACATTTCAGGTGACAGGGTGGCTTTAAAGGATAATACATACCACCCTAGTGTCCCTATTTAAGAAGGAGAGTCCCAAAACCCTCTGCCCCCATTTTCTAACCGTATGCCCGTCTTTTCATTGAGCTTCATGTTGTGGGTGTGTCTAAGGTGTATAAAAGAGTTCTACAGCAATATTACTTACAGTAATGTGTCTTTAGACTACAATAAATGTTTTTAGAAATCAGTATGTGTAAATAAGATACATTGCTTTTATTCTAAATTACATTTTTGTTCCATAAATAGTTATTAGTAATTCACCTAAAAAGTTTCAGAACATCTGACCCCAGGTAACACCCTCACTCATACCACTAAAATTAAAATGTCTCTCTTTCTCCACTTGTTGAAAGGTATGGATAATGTCACAGGGATAAGTTTTAAAAATATAACATTCTATATTGTTATTAAAGTGCTAATAAGTAGTAGAGAGCCACAGGCCGACTGATTTGTGGCCACATTGTAATAGCAGCATGTTAATATTTATATATATATATTGTGTATTTTGTTTTTAGGGTGAGCCTGGTGACCAAGGATTACCAGGGTGTAAAGGAGAAGTTGGGTCTGATGTAAGTATTATTATTTGGTTGCTATGTTTTATCAGTGATACGAATAATAACAAGATAGCAGGAAGATATTGTATTAGATAATACATAATATACATTTCACCATTTTATAACTCATGCCAGATCAGAAAATGTTTGTTTAAGTGTATGTACATTTTTTTTAATAATAGTTACCCATTGAACAACATCTGGAACATATTCACACTTTTTAAATTAAAGTTACTGATTGCAAAACACAGGAAGCATGCTATCGCTTTCTAAATAATAATATATATCTAATGGGAAACAGGAGCATCTATTCCTGTTCAGAATGCACAACAGATTTCATGTAACTCATTGAATACAGGCTCTTATGCATCTGTAACCTTTGCTCTTTTCCCATGATATCCATTTGTGTACATTATTGAACTATTCCGAAAACTGCTATTTCTGACAGTACTATTTACAGTGACATGCTTTCCTCACAGTTAATCTGTGTTAAATGTCAGTGTAGATTTATTTACACCAGCAATAACTAACCTTGGCATCCCTGATGTTTCCCATGATGCTCAACCAACTATCACTATCAGATAATGGAAATGCCCTGGATAGTCATTGTGGGTCTAGAGCTGTGCATACAATCAAATTATTATGCATCATATAAATAACTTTAGGTTCTGCATTTTTTTTTTTTTTGACTTGTCACTTGTCTCTGCTATTTGAGGAACAGTAGATTCAACTATTTCGGACCTGTTTTCTTGATTTCTTGTTGTAACGTCTTTCTCAGTTACTATAAATGTCGGGAAAAAAAAGTGTATAAGAAAATCTTTTGGTATATCACAGATTTCTACTGATAGCACGCAGAAAAAAAAAAAAATAAATATATATATATATATATATATATATATATATAAAATGATATGTAAATAAGTACAAATATGAAAAGCACAACCCAAATAACTTGTTTTCAGCTGCAGACTTTTAACAGTCTCTACATGACAATACAAATAAATAAGCCTATCTCATATGCCACAACGGTCACTAATCTAAAGGGCAGTAATCTCTAAATGGCATTTTAATTAATAATGTTTCCTGTGGCCAATATTGTGAGCTGAGCACCTAACAGGACGGACTGACGCTGGGCAGGCTGACGCTGGGCGGGCATGCATAAGTGTGTGGCAATCTCTTAATAAGATCGCAGGCGTGCGATCACTGCTGTTTTCGACTTTCTGGGAGCAGCAGGGAGTGGCGGCGATCTCGGATGTGGTGATTCATGGCGGAATACCAATTTTGTTCTCATTCCGCGGAACACCAATTGGGAAAACGCTGCTCTAGAGTTTAGCATCACTAAGCTAAACTACCAGGAAATAACAGAACCAACTGTCTGATTGACAACCAGGGAGCGTAACAAGCTTAATTTATAAATCGACCAAGTTCTACTGAAATCTGCACTTTTTGTAAAAAAAAAAAAAGAAAAAGAAGAGGGTACACTCATCACAAATAAAGCACTTCATCAAGTGCTCCAGGTATTTGGAATGTTCCTTTAAATCCAAAATTGCCGACATGGAAACAGACAGCTATGTTTCAAGTTAACCACTTTTAGTTTAGCCTAAGAGTTGAAATTCACTTTGCTCACTTTAGTAAATAATCCTTAAAATGATTTAATGCGGGGGGCGTGGCTAACCACGGAGCAAGATGGCCGCATGAAAACTTGCTCCGGCACCTGGGCACCTAATCCATTGCAATCATAGAGCCTAAAGCTGCATCTGACACTATAATACAGCAATGTCCCACCACAAAACCAAGAGGAGCTCGGCAAAACCGGACAAGCTCAATTTTTTTGGCCACAAACAAACCCCTGCGACTTTGGCAACGCAGGCCTCAACAGAGTCCGTAGACCCTGAATCAGATGACGGTATGCCCACCAGCGTCCCAGGAACACAATCGGACACAACACAAATAACGAAAGCTGATCTTAATGCAGCCCTGGAGATTATGTCTAACAAACTTATCACCACGTGGCAACACACAGCAGACTCCATGCGTAAAGACATCCAAGAGCTGGGTAAGCGAACATCCCTTATGGAGGATAAATGTGACGAATTCGCCACAGCCCACAATGATCTAGCCACTACTGTGGAACGTATGGCAACTGAAATCACCAAATTAGAAGACAAATTGGCTGACCTGGAGGATCGCTCCCGCCGAAATAATCTATGCCTGCGAGGGGTGCCCGAGGATGTCTCTACCGACGACCTACAGGCGTATGTACGGAACCTATTGCATGCTTACTCACCGGAGATACCCACGGACATGCTGCTAGTAGACAGAGTGCATCGAATTCCAAAACCCCGGCACCTCCCGCAGACGGTACCGAGAGATATATTGCTCCGCGCCCACTACTTTCACATAAAGGAGCACATCCTCCGCAGCAGTAGATTGAAGGCCGAGCCACTAGCTGACTACCCCACCGTTCGGATATACGCGGATCTGTCAGCCGCCACCTTGCGAAAACGGAAGGAATTCTCACAAGTCACCGCCACGCTGAGGTCCCACGGAATCCGCTACAGATGGGGCTTCCCCACAAAATTGCTAGTCACGAAGGATGGCAGCGTGTCAGTGATAGGCACCCCTGAGGATGGCGTGAAGACATTGCAGGCTTGGAACATGCCGGTGGAGCCGGCTGCGCAATCCACGAACCAAGCAGGCACACTCAGACAAGATTGGAAAAAGGCTCAAAGGAAACACTAAAACCAACTGATACTGGTTACGAGTATTGGCTTCCCCGTACAAAATGACTGAACTTTAAAGTTTGGACACGACCCGTTGGTCTCCCTCCTATCTCGACCCCGACAGTTTGACGCTGAAGCTGGCTTCCTGGGGGAATCCCCTGGGACGGGCTGGGCCGGACCGGGGTCTCCCGCCATCCCTGTGACGAGGCGCAAGCAGAGCAGTGGTCGCCTGCGGGGGACCTGGGTCTGGCTCTCTGGCCCAGGCCGATATCTCCCTTCTCCTCCTCTGGGGTCCTCCCCGCCAACCCTGGGACTAAGCTCCACCCGGACCTAATGGCCTGGACAGAAGCATACACACTGCGCAAATGACTTGGCACCCGCTCACACAAGCCGAAACCCCAAGCACGACTGAGAACCGCATTGCAAAACCGACCCGTGCTGGGGGATAGACTCAAAAAAATAAAATAAAAAAAAGAGACATCACAAGGTAACGGGGGCATGATCCCCCTGGTTCTCTGTATGTGTGTATTGCGGGGACCCCGGGGGACTGGGGGGGGATGGGGTGGAGAGGGTGAGGGGGGGAGGGTTACCGAAGGGGAACATACTAGTCTTGCTGGGAAAATTGTCTTAATTAACTGTCTTACTTACTTGTCTATATTGAAATGTATGCAATGCAGGCTGCTGGGCCGTGTGCATGCACCTGCCCCACAGGTGGGGGCGGGGTGCGTGCCCCCGGCACACCGGCAGGCATGACCCACGCTGTTGGACCCCGGGGTGGGCCCCTGAATTAGCCTGGCACAGAATGGGACTACCCAACCCGGCCGAACCCAGTGCTGACTATGCCAGGCTCCATACCATGGGCCTAGGCGTACCTACTTCACTAAAGATGCAGCACATTACTGCAACATAGGTGCCCAATAGCCATGTTAATGGAAGAGAACTCTCTCTTCGATTCCCCAGATGTGGTAACACCACACACCGTCTCCACGAGAGACACCTTGTATATAGTTAAAATCCCTCCCCCAAGTTTCCCTCCCCCACCCAGAGATACCCATGATCGGCTAAAAGCCTCCAGGAGGCCCGATAAACACCCTAACTGGCATCACCGCGCGTTCGCCCTCACACTACGCCACAAAAATAGGGCAGGTCCTAGCCCACTCCCTCTGCTACAACTGTCGTCACACTGTCCCTCTAATCAACACGAGAGAAGGGAAAACCAGGTGCTACAATATACAGCACAGCGCAGTTGCAAACCTAAACACACACTATGAAGATACATACTATCAACACTCGTGGCTTAAACACACCACACAAAAGGAGACTCCTAATTGAAGACGCAAAAAGTACCAAATCAGACATACTGTGCATACAAGAGACGCATTTTGTACACAACAGAGTACCTACCTTCACGAGTAGGGATTACCCCACGCAATACCATTCCACCTACTCATCTAAATCTAGAGGCGTATCCTTCCTCATACATGCATCAGTTACATTTGAGCTCTTGAGCCTCAAAAAAGATACACAGGGTAGATATCTCATAATACACTGCAAAATCCACAATGCCCTATACACGCTAGTGGGGGTATACAGCCCCAATAACGAGCAGAGAAATTTCCTACAAAAGGTCCTACACAAAATTCCCACGACCTACCCCTCCTCCACAATCCTCTGTGGAGACCTGAACCATATAATGCAGCCCAGACTGGACACCACACAGCCAACCGAGTCCCCAAGATGTAAAGCACTGGGCAAACAGGCGACAGCACTGGTAAAACTTCTTTTGGAACACAATCTGTATGACGTGTGGAGAGCACAACACCCGAACGACAGAGAATTCACATTCTATTCCCCAGTACACAAAACATATTCTAGAATTGATTTTATATTCGTCACGGGTGACGTATTGCCGAATGTTATAAGTAGTGAGATAGGAGATATAGTCTGGTCCGATCATAGCCCAGTAATGTTAACCCTAAAAGACCAATTTCAAACACGGGGATCTACACCCTGGCGCATGAACGAAGCACTCCTACACAGCTCAGACTTCAAAGCTAAACTTACCGAAGAAATCACTTCGTTCTTCTCGATAAATGACACACCTGATGTCCCCTTGGCCACAACGTGGCTGGCGCTTAAAGCATTTATACGTGGCCTCATGATCAGTCAGGCATCCCATCTAAATAGGCAAGCAAAGAAGGAATATGTAACTCTTATGAGATCGCTTAGGGATGAAACTTCCACACACACTCTTAACCCCACCACGTCCAAGCAACAGCGCATAGATCAACTTAGAGAACAGTTGAATGACATCCACCAACGTACCACTGCCACTATAGCACATAGGCTCAAACTTACAACATACACTCAAGGGAACAGAGCAGGGAAGGCCTTAGCAGCACTTCTGCGGCAGAAACGACAAAACGCGAAAATACCGTTCCTTTTCAACTCACTAGGGAATAAGGTGTACAACCCCCATGATATCAATGACATGTTAGCAGACTACTATGACAAGTTATACAATCTAAGAAGAGATGACAACACACACCAACCACTCGCTTCGGACATTAACACCTTCCTAGCGGAAGTCCACACAGGGCAACTCACACAGGGGGACCGAACCTTCCTGGACAAACCCATTACCCAGACCGAAATAACACACACAATCAAAGCTCTCCCAAAGGGGAAATCTCCTGGCCCAGATGGTTTCACAAACTTGTATTATAAGGCCTTCTCACACATCCTAACCCCTACACTAGAAAAACTTTACAATACTATACTTAAGACAGGGGAAATACCGCAAGAGATGCTGCTAGCCCACATAACAACACTACCGAAACCTGGGAAACCACCACACAAATGCCAGAATCTGCGGCCGATATCACTCCTAAACACGGACTTAAAAATACTGGCAAAAATATATGCCAATAGATTGGGAAGCATCCTCCCCACACTAATCCGAGATGACCAGGTGGGCTTTGTCCGGGGCAGGCAGGGATCAGATGGGACCAGGAAACTGATCAACATCCTCCACAGGATCCAGACAACAGAGGAACCCAGTGTGGCACTGTCACTAGACGCAGAGAAAGCGTTTGACAGGCTGCACTGGGGATATCTAGAAGCTGTACTGAGGAAGTTTGCCTTCCCAAATAGTTTCATTACGCTGGTTGCAGCACTATATAATAACCCGGCAGCGAAGATAACGAACGGAGGCTTCACCTCCAAGTTATTCCATATCTCTAATGGGTCCAGGCAGGGATGCCCACTTTCCCCACTGCTTTACATACTGGCGTTAGAACCCCTAGCGCAACATATAAGAGACTCCAATGACATCGCGGGGATCACAATAGGGGGGAAAACGCATAAGATCACCCTATTCGCAGACGATGTAATGCTCACCCTATCTGGACCCGACACCACATTGCCGCATCTCCAAAAAATACTGACGAAATTCAGTGAATGCTCCTATTATAAACTTAATATCAATAAAACACAGGCCATGGGCCTTAATCTCACCACAGACCAACTCATTAAACTGAAGAACGAACATACATATGACTGGAGAAAGGACCACCTGACATTTCTAGGGATCCACCTCACACCCACAATAAAGAAGATGTATAAAGCAAACTATCTAAAGTTACTTGCTGCTATTAAACAACAGATGCATAGCTGGAAAGGGAAATACATTTCATGGCCGGGGAGAATAGCGGCAGCAAAAATGATGATACTACCAAAGCTACAGTACTTATTCCGAACACTCCAAATACACATACCACAACGCTTTTTTAAGGAAGCTCAAAGCGCACTGAATGGGTTCATATGGGGGGAGACACGACCCAGAGTGGCGGCTGCTACCATGTATAGGCCATTCAAGGAGGGTGGGATGGGGGCTCCAGACATCAGGAAATATTACACAGCGGCCCTGATGGGTACTCTCATAACAACATTCCACCATGCAACAATACCATCGTGGCATCACATAGAAATGGCACACACTGGCGGGATAGCACTGTTCACCCTAGCCTGGATCCCCAAACACAAAAGACCAAGATGTCAGAACATATGCCCCACTACGTCTGCGACACTCTCAGTATGGGACAAACACATTAAAGACTGCTACCCTGCCTCATATATCTCCCCAGCACTACAAACTCCAGCGTTTCATATCCTCATACCCGGATTTGACTACGGTCTATGGCAAAACAGTGGGGTTAAATGTTTATCTCAGATAATATTAGATGGCCACATAATAGACTACAACTTACTATCCAAAACGTTTGACCTGCCCCCCAAAGCCTACTTTACTTATCTACAATTACAATCGTGGGCAAAACATCACGTTGGTACCAATAAGGCACCTCAACAAATTCACACGCTGACTGAAATAGAAAAAATCTGCATAAAACTACTGTCTCTCCTATATAAATTATCTAGCCCCAAGGAACCACCAAAAGCTTTTAGCTTTATAAAGGCCTGGGAGAAAGAGTTAAACCTAGATATATCTAACGAAACATGGTCCCGGCTGTTGCCGGCCTTTAAACACCTGACATTAAACACATCCCACATAGAGATCAGCAGGAAGGTGTTGTACCGTTGGTACATGGTGCCCACTAGGCTACACAAATTTGATAAACAGAAGTCAGATCTATGCTGGCGATGCTTAAAAGAGAAGGGAACAATGCTCCACATCTGGTGGACCTGCC